ATACCAGCAGTGGCTCACGGTTCATGTACTTATTCTAACTCACTTCACTTGAGTCCAACTCTTTGCTACCCTATGGACAGTAGCCTGCCAGTGTCCTATGTCTATGGGATTCTCCAGGTGAAAATACTGGAATGGGTTGTTGCCATTTCCTACTCCGGGGATCTTCCTGACTCAGAGATTGAACCCCGTCTCTTACATCTCCTGCACTGGCGAGTGGGTTCTTTACTGCTAGCACCACCTGGGAAGCCACTGATGCTCTGCTGGTCCTAAAAGAAGCAAGAATCAGATATTCCCCTTCTTGTTTTCCACCTGTAACTATCATCAGGTTAAGCACATCGACACTATTCAGTAAAATGCACGTAAATGTTTTCCTTGAGAATGACTCTAATGAATTTCAGCAAAATGCTGAATTCCTTCATCATTTCTAGAATGGGCAGTGGACTCTCAAAGTACTTACAAATTCACACAGAATTAAGCTAGTGTTATTGTACTTCATGTAGAGTGAGTAGATTTTTTCCAATTTTGTGTGTGATCATACAGTAATATTATATTATAAAAGACTCTGATTTAGCACACAGCAATATAACAGCTGGTTCTTTATACTTACATTGCTGTAGCCTACATTTCCCTAGCTATATGCATATCTCTTTATTATAATAACACACTTTATGCCTCTTTGAAGACAGAAAACAAACTTAGGGGAAATATCATGGAATACATGGCTCATAAAACCCCTCAGAAATTAGGGATGCAAACTTCCAATCTCCGTGATAATCAGATCTTTTTTGCTGTTGTTTTGTTTTAGTCAAGTAGGGATAGAACTTCTACATTTTACTTAAGTTGTTGAAGGGATAAATAAAAAATCTTTTCACTGGAGAAGATGCAATTAATAAAAATGGTAGGTATTTACCATAGTTAACTTCTACAAAGAAGGAACCCTGTCTGTGCATAAATCTCCTTTCTGTGCATAAATCTCCTTTGGGGGAGGTTTAATCATCTAATACATTTGGTTCAGCTAGAGTAAAAGCATTCATTTCCTCTCGAGTGGCAGTGTTAATTCTAATAGCAAAATTTTGATACATTACACACATATGCTCTCCTCAAAGAGAATTATCATATCTTCAAGTACTCCAAGTGACCACATATCACTTGGGCAACCACTTATGGAAAAGAGAGATCAAAAGACTATTTTATAAATGAAGCATGCTAATTTATCACATCATATTTGTCATCATGTCATAGCATTTTAGGCAGGAGGAAGGCCTATTGTATATGTTGTCTGCCATCTTGATCATCTCCTCTCCAAACACACATAGGGCAGCCTGAAATGCGAATTTGTGTGTGTGTTAGTCACTCAGTCATGTCCAACTCTTTGCAACCCCATAGACTGTAGCCCACCAGGCTCCTCTGTCCATGGAATTCTCCAGGTAAGAGGGTTGCCATTCCCATGCGAATAAACATAAAGAAAGAATTACCAATATAATCTAGCTGTGACCTAGGCTCTGTTCCTTATCAATGGAGTGATCCTGGGCAAGCCACGCTTTCTTCATTTGTAACATACAGTAGAAAACGAAAATGTACCTCAGATTCCTCAATAAGGAATCTCTACGCATACAAAATATTTAACATATTGTTGGCACAGGGTAAGCCCTCAATAAATGGTGATTTATTGTCATCCTTATTATTTATCATTGACAGTAACAAAAGAAAAGGCAAATTTATCAGTATGATTCTAAATTACTGGAAACTGTCAAAGAAAACTAAGTATAACAATGCTTATGTGTCCTTGTGCTACTTTTTGTCATATTGGTATGGAATCCAAAAGCTGTAGCGATTCTTAGTCCTTCCTGAAAAAAATAGCAGTTTGGATATTTGTTGAAAGGATAGCTGCATTTGAAATGCTTAAGCTTGATAAAAAATTTGATGTATCCAATAGAAAAAAAAAATTCTTTTTTTTCTTTTGGTGGTGCTTGTTTAAGCTCATAATGCAAATCCAAAAAACCTAGGACATAAGAAAGGTCTTAGTGAAGTTAAGCACTCTAGAAATGGGCAATCTTGCTCATAGTTTGAAAAAAAATCCAAAAAGGAAAACTGGACAGCAACACTGGAATTGCTAAAATTTTAATGTGTGGAATCTCAATACAAGGGAACTACAGGTACATTTCTTGATGCTTCAGAGAAGTCAGATGACACCACCAAAAAGTCTACATTCAGTTCTTTTCATTATACCTAAAACTTAAGTTGGTTTAAGAATACAGGTTGAAATTCAGCTGAATATTTTCCTAAAACATGATGCAGCCGTTGTTTGGACGACATGCTTGGAGTGATGCATCTTCTCCACTGTGATTTAAGTGTTCCCTGTACTTCTTTGCCCACCACTCCTTCCCTCCAACTTCTGAAAAAACTAACACAAAGCAAAAACTCTAGACCTTGGCCTCAGAGGCGGGCAAAGGACCCACTAGATCAATGAGAATCTCTTCAGGGATTTCTCCACCTGGGATGGCAGCAGAGAGCTCTTTCTGCTTTCATCTTGAAGCCATTGAGTCAGTCGGTCTAGGGTTGCCTGACAAAGAAGAGGTGGCAAGCCCTGAGATGCTAGTCTGGTTCCAGTTGCTCCGAGACCAGTGTTATTGCTGTCATGGTTTAAGAATGTGGCCACTCTATTTTCTTTTTTGTTTAAGCTAGATATACCTGGGTTTCTATCAATCAAAACTGAAAAACCATGCTTATTACACATTAAATTCTTAAATGTCTTTGAGTCTATTTTTATTCTCTATTGTGTTCCCACTAATCTGCGTTTCTTCTCTAGAGCTAAACAGTCAATGTCTTTATATTTTAACATCTTTTAGGGCTGATCACCCATCACTGCCCTTGGTACATGTTCAGTTGGCTCGCCTTGCTGACACACTGGGGGCAGGGCAGATGGTCCCAAACTGCAGGCACAGGTTTTCTAGTTTCTGGAAATGTATCCCCCCAACCTGCTGCCTCTAATCTTAATAAATCTATAAAATGAATTATATATCAGCCTCATAAATTGATTAGCCAAGAGTCAGGGCTTACTTATAGCTTTACTCACTTACTTGGGCAAACTAATAGAGCTGGGGTATCTAGATTTTAAAACACTGAAGACTCAACTGTGGACCAGTGGACTGTGGACACCTCATGGCTGAGCCCAAGCAAGCTAGCAGGTGGCCAGCTGCTCTCTTACAACTTTCTTAGCTGGAACAAATGGAATACGCAGCCCTGGACTCCACCAGGGCATTAGGATGCTGTTCTGTACCTCATATGAGGGCATGAGATGTGGCGATGTGATGTCACGCTGGAGACAAAATCAAGGTCGGGTGAAAGGGACACTCAGGAAGGACAAAACGGGGAAAATTCTACCAAGGCCAGACTGTCTAATGGTTAAGTGCACAGACTTTGGTGTCCCAGGCGGCTCAGTAGTAAACAACCTGTCTGCCAATGCAGGAGATGCAGGTTTGATCCCTCGGTCAGGAAGATCCCCTGGAGGAGGAAATGGCCATCCACTCAAGTATTCTTGCCTGGGAAATCCCATGGACAGAGGAGCCTAGTGGGCTACAGTCTGTGGGGTTGCAAAGAGTTGATATGACTGAGCATGCATGTATAGACATCAGATTGAGATTGCCCAGGTCTAAAGTCCCTGCTTTGCAACAAATATCAACAGTACATGACTTTGGTCCAACTACTCTAATTTTATCGGCATCATTTTTCCAACAGCATTTGCTCACTTTGTATCTTTGTTGTACATTTTGGTAAATCTAGCAATATTTCAAACTCTGTCATTATTCTTACATTTGTTAATGTGATCTTTGATGTTACTGTCGCAAAAAGATTACAACTCAGCAAAGGCTCAGATGATGGTTAGAATTTTTCACAATATTTTTTATTAAGATATATGTTGTTTTCTTTTAGGCACAATGCTATTGCACACAATAGATTCTGATATAGTGTAAACATAACTTTATATGCATTGGGAAGCCAAAAAATTCATATGACTTGCTTTATTGCAACAATCACTTTTTTGTGGTGATCTGGAACTGAACCCATACCATCTTTGAGGTGTGCCCATATTACAATGAGCTAAAATGTTGAGGCACAAAGAATTCAGACTATGGATCTATCTGCAAAGTTGCCAATGGATGTCTCTCAGACACATGAGGAAAGCTTTAACTAAACCAGTTCAGTACTTATAAACAGTAATAGCTATTACTCTTTTCCCAGTTTGACCAGTCATCTACATTTGAGCTAAGAATCAGAAAAGGGAAGGGACAGAGGTAATATTTAAGTTGTGTTAAAGAGAATCTTTAAATTATCAATTTGAGTAAGAATTCATTTTTCACAGAGGTCCTTACTTTGTGCAGCAAACTGTGTAAGTGTGACGTGGCATACAAAGACCATAACACAGGTCTTGGCCCTCCAGGGGATTTCAGACTAGCAGCATTAATAAAGACCTGGACATGAGTGAGGGGCTCACAAAAATTAGAGGAGGAAAGAACCTATGGATGGGGTGGTGATAAGGCTGAACTTGGACAGTTTCATAGAGGAGACAGTATTTGAGCATTTTTAGTTGAAACAAAGCATATAATACATTTCAAAGATAATTTTCCATGCACTGGGAATAGCATAAGGCAGATAGGAAATAGCGGGTTTGTGAATCCCAAGGAAAATTCTGGGATTGCAAATAGTCCAGTTTGATGAAAGAAATGGGTAAGAGGATAATGAAAGGTCTGGTTGTAAAGGTAGGCTGGGGATATGCTGGGAAACTTGGATTTCATTTTATGGTGGACACCAGACTTTGGATCAGAGAAATAATGCATAATTATTTATGTAAGTATGGATGAGAGGAATATTCAAACATCAGCCACAGTTCTTTATATACAGTTAAAATATATATTTTTTCATTTATAACTTATAGGAGAGCTTTAATAAAATGCATGTACAATAAATAATTCATACTTAAAAATGCTCATCAGATAGCTTCATGCCTTTTCAGTGGAAGAGGCCACAATACCAGGGAAATCAGAAGGCAATCTCAATAATTCTTCTACTTCTTCTTGCAAAGCCTCTGCTTTCTCATGCAACAGCATCTACAAGATAAAAATTAAGATGTGAAGCAAAAATGTGCATTGTTAGGGAACTGCTAACATTTTACCACCATCTATTCAATACCTGAATCCTTATGTATCAGCATAATCTAGACATTAAAACTAATAATGAGATTGAAAAATGGTCACTTAAGAACAGCAATTATAGTAAATGAAGCTGAGGCATTTAAAGCCATTTTAGCTGATCACTGCATTTGGTATACCAAAAATAATGGAGCTTTAATACTCTCAAAGGTTTGTTTTATTGAAGACTCAGCCACTTAAAATTAACTTTTAACCTATAAAATTTAAGACAATTTTGAAAAAATTTAATTGGTTCTTAAAAATGTTACCCTTTATATATAGATTTTATTAATCCTCACAGTTTAGTGTGCTATCTTTTAAAAACCTATTGGGAGAGTTAAAGATTGGGGCCCTTTAGGGATCAAACCAGTCAATCCTAAAGGAGATCAGTCCTGAATATTCAGTGGAAGGACTGATGCTGAAGCTGAAGCTCCAATACTTTGGCCACCTGATGCAAAGAGCCAACTCATTGGAAAAGACCCTGATGCTGGGAAAGATTGAAGGCAGGAGGAAAAGGGGACGACAGAGGATGAGATGCTTGGATGGTATCACCGACTTGATGGATATGAGTTTGAGCAAGCTCCAGGAGTTGATGGACAGGGAGACCTGGCGTGCTACAGTTCACGGGGTCAAAGAGTCGGACATGACTGAGTAAGTGAACTGAACTGAAGGAGGAAGTGAACATGCTGGCTCAAGCTTTTCTTAAGCCGTGTGCGACAATGTACCTTGCCCGATACATTAGGCTCTCTTTAGGTCCTGAACTAATGATGGAATGGCACAATGTCTTACTCACAAATGCTTTTCTTAGGCTCTATGTTAAATGATTATAATTGTAACAAATCTTGCCTGGGAACCTGTTTCTCAAGACTTGTACGCCTGATTACACAGCAACAGTGTATCCGGCCCAGAGACCTTGCCCTGAACACATTCTCCCTGGCTAATCTTGTGTCAAAGTTATCTCAGGATGTATGCCTTGGGAAAGGGTCCGGTGGAAGTCTTACAACCTTGAGGTATTCTTTTTATCTATTCTCAGCAGCCAGCTGAGAAGTATATAAGGCCCAGCTTAAACTAGTGAGGCGGGTACTCTTTCTACCCACTTCTGATGTCTATGTCAGAAGCTTTCTCTGTTCTGTCAACTTAAAATTTTGCACACAAAGCTCTGAATGACTGAGAATCTTCTTTGGTCCTGGAGTTAAATCTCCTTCAGAGACCACAAATCTGGCGGCACCATTTACCATAAGCTGTCACTATCAGTGTTTCAAAGAAAACTTTTATTCAAGCTCCTAAAACTAATATGGTTAATTTCAAAAGGAGCATAATAAACAAAGAAAGTTATTTCTAAACCTGGTACATAGTAGATGTCAATGAATATTTGAATAATGATTTTTCCCCTTTCTTTATAAAACAACAGAAATCAAATGTTGGTATTTACTGCAGCTGGGTTTGTGTATATTGGTGTGAAATACTTGCACTATTTCTCTTACAACATTTAATAATAAAAAGCTCAATAAAAATCATAGAAGATAAAATTACTCTCTCTACCAATCTGATATAAAGCACAACATTACGAGCATTATTGTGCCTGAACTTGTCTAATACTTTTAACATTCAAAGTCACTTATTAAATATTTTAGCCATTGTTACTGCAGCTCCCTTGGCATCTTTTTTAAAGCTTTTTTTTTTTTTTTTGATGTGCATCACTTTTAAAGTCTTTATTAAATTTGTTACAATATTGCTTATGTTTTATGTTTTGGTATTTTGGCTGTGAAGCATGTGGGATCTTACCTCCTGGACCAGGGATCAAACCCATACCCCTTGCATCGGAAGGCCAAGTTTTAGCTACTGGACCACCGTGGAAGTCCCCCTTTGTACCTTTAATAACATGTAGTCTAACACGATAGTCTTGCTCTACTACTTACTGATTATCTGTGTTTCCTTGGGTAAATCACTTCATTTCTTTAAATCTCATTTATTTATTTATTCAAATATTTGTTAAACATCTACTATGGGCTGAATACTGTGCTAGGTGCTCCAGCAATGAAATAACTACAATTTCAACCCTATCAACCCAAAGAACTCCTTATCTAATAGGACAAGTTGTAGTGTCCTGAGAGGGCTGTCACAAAGATCAATCACAGTCATACAAACAACGGGAGAGCCTTTCAAAAAAGTAAGCTGGAAACTTACTTTTCAGTCAGTTTGATTTATATATGACAATAGTATAACAATGAACTTAAAGAACACACATACACAACTGTACAATTTCAGACCACAAGGATGGAAATATAGTTGAGATCAAGAAGGAAATAATCCCTTGCTGTTTAGTTGTGTCCAACTTTTGGACACGATGCCATGGACTGCAGCCCGCCAGGCTCCTCTGTCCCTGGGATTCTCCAGGCAAGAATACTGGAGTGGGTTGCCTTTTCCTTCTCCAGGGGATGTTCCCGACCCAGGGATTGAACCCATGTCTCCTGCAGTGGCAGGTGAATTCTCTACCGCTGAGCCACCTGGGCAGTCCAAATAATCCCTGACTGCTGCTTACTGGATTTACCCACACGGAGCAGGAGGGTGGTGACGAACTGGGCGGCACCGAGCAAAGTGTAACCAGGACAGTGAATGGCCTAAAAGCAGACTGCGGACTACAGGTGAAAGAGACAGAAAAGAGAAACCTTTGGAGGCAACAAGAGCTGTTTTCAAGTATGTGAAAAACCACCAAATGAACAAAGGAAGAGCCGGGTTGCAGAGGGTAGTACTACGATGCCATGGGAGGCATTTTAAGGCAGCCTCATCATACTGGGATGCTGTTTGTAACACTGAGTCCAAAAATAGAACTTAGTTCTTGAGGTTGTAAATGTCTTGTCAGCAAGGGTGTTTAAAGGTGAGAAGACCAGGTGTTGGGGGCACTGAGGAAGGACTTCCGTGAGAAGAGCAGGAGGAGGCAGCAATGAGCTCAGAGTTCCTTATGTTTCAGTGAACTCTTAAAAGGGCCTTTACTTTTTAGGAGATCCTTTTTCTCTTTTTAACAAGCCTTGTATCATAACATGTGCACTATTTTTATCCACATATTATGATATATATCTTTGTGCCTGTAGTTAATATGTCTAAAGTACAAGGAGATTACTCTGTAAAATATCATAAAGATTAAAAAAATGCCTTGTTTGCTTACCTTGGCTGATGAAACAATTTGCTTGGCCTGCCGTCTTGATAAATGATCAATTGTCCTTATCAGCACTTCAGGATTTGCATTAGCTAAGTGCGTTAGACTTTTATAACCTGCATTGTATAACTGTCTTGCTCGACCCTGCAAAGTATTTATAAAAATCATTAGGATCAGAATTGGGGATTAGGAAAAAAACAATTAAGTGTTTTACTGAAGGGAAAAATTCACTTGCAAGAGACAGGAATAAACTAAGATAATAAAGTAAATATGAAAAGATAACACATCAGAATCTGAAGGAATTTTAAAAGTGTTTTAAAAGAATTTTAAAATAATTTGGGTGGCTCCAATCTGACTGCAAGAGAGCTAGCTTTCTGTGCAGCTGAGGTCAACTGATGCATGCTGCAATCAGAAATGAGAAACCTGGGGACTTCCCTGGTGGTCCAGTGGTTAAGAATCCACCTTCCAGTGCAGAAGACGTGGATTCGATCCCTGGTTAAGGAACTAGGATCCCACATGCTGTGGGGCAACTAGGCCCATGTGCCACAGTGACAGGTCCCACATACCACAGTGAAGATACCCCGTGCTCCAACTAAGACCCAACACAGTCAAAAATAAATTAATTAATTAATTAAATATTTAAAAACCAGAAATAAAAAACTCCTTAGGGCACTTAGGCGAGGGGCATTAGTTCAGATCCCCAATCAAATGTTTTAGTTCAGTATCCCTAGAATGTTCTCACTATCTACACAGGGACCTTTGGAGTGTGTGTGTGAGTGTGTGTATGTGTGTGCACGCTTTCCCAAGCAGAATTCCTCTGGTTTAAGAACTGAATAACAGAATAAACAGAAAACAAGGGTTGATCAAAAACAGAAAGCTGAGAAACCAGCTGAGGAAACCTTCATCTCATTCTCTTAGAAAATGTAAATGACCCTCACTGCCACCGAGTGACCACCACCTTCAACAAGCACTGTCTCAGCTGACAGAGGCAAGTCTTTGCTGGAGTGGAGGAGGGTATGGTACAAGGCGTACTTGGGGAGAATCACCCTGTCTCTACTGTTACATTTATCCACAGATGTGATTTTTCATCAGGACTGCCTCTGGATTGACAGGGATTTCGGGGAGGCCATGGCAGCAGTTTATTAAAAACAAATAAAAAAAGATTCCCATGATAAATGAGCAATACGGCTATTGTTGCCACTTACCCTGTGAGACAACAGTACCTGACTTCTCTGTGAGCTGAAATCATCTCAGTTGGGGAGCTAAGAAGTTACTAACCTCTAAAACCCCAGTCACTTCCATGAGCGGGACTAGCTCTGCCTTTACACAGTAGGTCAGCTTCTTGGTGAGTTCTCCCAAAAGGGCTCTGTAAACCCAGAACTCTTCAAGCTCCTGCAGAATGCAGAGAGATACACAGAACTGAAATCTCGTAAGTTATTTCAGAATCCAGTACGTGTGATAGGGGGCTCAGAAAAGACTCGCCCTTTGGTAAACTCTGGAAGTTGCATAAAACCAGAGGTGAACAATGACTCTGAGCAAAATTACTATGAGGAAACATGGCAGAGGCGGAGAGATTTGAACAGAATGGTTTTAGGATAAGGACAAAGAGTGTAAACTGAAAAATAAGTCAACAGGAAGAATTCTAGGGAGGGGAGTTCAGGAGAGAGGGAACACATGCATACCTACGGCTGATTCATACTGACGGCAAGAAACATCACAATACTGTAATTATCCTCCAATTAAAATAAGAAAATAAATATTTTCAAAAAGGGTTCTGCTCACTTTGATCAAAACATAACAAGATGTGCAAAGCGTGTATCATCTAGTAATGGAATTACCTCACAGAAGTGTAACACACAGGAGGAGAATGCCGCAGCTCCAGAGAGAAGGCTCTGTATATATCCTCGAGGCATGTTAAACTTTTCAGACACGCTCCAAATGTTGGTCTCTTTGAGCAAAGTATAAAGAATGAAAGACAGGTACAGTCTGTTGACAATGTTCTTGTCCACCTTCTAGAAAGACACAAATAAATTCATGTATTGGACCTGCTTAAAATGTACATCCCATTCAAACTGGACAAAAGGTAATGAGAATGAAGCTGCACACGGCAGAGACAGGACAGAGTGGTTCTACAGAAATAAATCTAAGTCATAACAAATGTACTTCAGATTAGTTCTAAGTATTATTTTTTCCAAGTCTATAAAAAAAAGAGATATGTCAAACTGTTTCCAATTTAAATTTCCTTCTGTAGCAAGTATAGTGAGTTGAACGGTCCCTCCCCGAAAGATATACTCAATTCCAAACCCTTGGTGCCTCTGAACGTGACCTAATTTGGAAATAGAATCTCTGCAGATGTAATTAGCGAAGGATATTGAGATGAAACCATCCTGGATATACAGGGGGCCCTTGAGCCCATTAGTCAATGACTGATATCCTTATAAGAGAGAGGACATGAGTGACAGAGAAGGTGGTGTGAAGACGAAGGAGGCAGACTTTGACAAGATGGTGACTACAAGGATCGCTAACCACCATCAAAGGCCGTGAGAGAGGCAAGATGGTTCTTCCTCAAGCCTCCAGAAGGAACAACTCTGCCAGCATCTTGATTTCAGACTTCTGGCCTCCTGACCTGTGACAGAATAAAGTTCCATTGTTTTAAGACACCTGGTTTGTGCTAACTTGTGATGGCAGCTTTAGGAAAAGAATACGGGAAGAGAAGGAGTTGGGGAAACCTTTACATGTACTGCGGTATTTACAGTGTTGAGTGTTAGTCACTCGGTCATGTCCAACTCTTTGCCACCCCATGGACTGAGCCCGCCAGGCTCCTCTGCCCATGGACTTCTCCAGGCAAGAATGCTGGAGTGGGTTGCCATGCCCTTCTCCAGGGGATCTTCCTGCTGGGTCTCCTGCATTGCAGGCAGATTCTTTTACTGTCTGAGCCACGGAGCCACCCAGGAAGCCCCTGGTAGTACTTACAGGTTGGGTGTATATATATACACACACATACATATATATATATACACACACATACATATATACATATACATATGTGACTGTGATTATAAATTAGACAAATGTGTTTATTTAGATAAATATGTTAATAAGCTTGTTTATATTATAAACTAAGAGTAAATACTAGCTTCTATGACTTAGACCTGGTCATGGTAAATAATTAATGTTTCCAGACGTCAAAACACTGAAAGAGAAATGCTCCCTGTAGTTGACAGTTTCTATTCTGTATATCCGCTTTGGCCTGTGGTGCCTAGTGATTATTTTTTGTGTAAAGCATTTCACAGCTAACACCAAGCTAATTCAGAAACTGAGTAACACATGCTTGAAATCAGAGGAAAAAAAGAATGAACTTTAAAGAGAAAAGGGAGGTTTAAAATATAAAATTATATCCTCTACTATAGTAAAAGAATGTTTAAGATGAGAACTTAAACTGTTTGAGAACTTAGATGAGCAGATTGAAGGACGTAAGAATTTCAGATTCTGTATGTTTGATACTAGATCACCCTTTTAAAAGCTTTAACCTGAAAAAGCATGATAGTTGAATAACAACTAGGAAAAGATCACTTTTTAATTTCCCAATTTTAGTGCACCTTCATTATTAACTATAAATTGAGTCAATGCAGATTTTTGCTTAGAATGTATTTTCTAAGCCAAGAAAAATGACATGATTATATTACATGGTGAGATAAGTCACTTTATGCCAATTTCAAGATCTTTTACAAGAAATGTTTAAAGAAAAGGTCCATTTCAATGTGGAGAAATCAAGTAGATTTTAAACAAATATGTTCTCTAGAAATTTCTTTAAAAAGATACTTCTAAAGTATTAAACTAGTAACTTGTTCATTTCTAATTAAGATAAAGTTATGCTCATACTATTTTAAATAATTATAAATTGAACAAACATTTATTGACTCTTATAAAATGTAACAAAAATAAATTCTGATTCAAGTTTCAACAGATGTATTATTGTAACATGATTTTATAAATGTTTATTACTTGGTAATGAGCTCCAGATTAATATTTTTTAAAAATATATTTTAGAGTTTGAAACAAAAGGTTTAAGAAATATTTTTATTCAACATTCTGAAGGTCTAAACAATAGTCACTTCTGAGGTAAAAGACCCAATCTAAATACTGACAACAGGAATAGTGAAGTACCATGCATTTATACTTTTATGATACCTCAATACAGGGGACAGCTACACCATTCAATTCAAATGTAAGTAAAACATATTCCATTTTTCAAAATGAAAGATCATTAGGCTTCAATGAAGATTAGATTACCAAATAAAATGAAAATTGAAAAAAAAAACTGTAATTATTATGAGGTAGAAAATTATGTTAATTAAGGAATGAATGTATGTTTGCCAAAGAATTATTTTCACTTCTCGTACAGTTAGTGGCGCATTCAGCACTTGATTCTTGTTTGTTGACTTAACTTTAAAAGGCAAAAATATAAGATATCACACAAGAGCACTTGTTTTCTCTGCTTCAGCCGTCTAAAATGCTTTATATACTTCAAGTACATTGGTAGTTCTTTGGGACAACGAAAAGCACCAACAAAAACAAAAATCCTAAAACTCATCTTATGTTAGAATTCCTAATGCCAAGTGGATTCTTAAGAAAAAGTTTCTAGAAAACTTTTCTCCCTTGAACTGAACTTATTTCAGGATTCTTTTCTATAACATTGGAAAATATTTTACAATTGTTATAATTTAAACCATAATAAATAGCCTAAGAAAAATAGATGAATAAGGTCTACCTTTTCCTATGCTAAGAGCCTTACATGTGCATGACTATTTTAGAAATACAAAGGTACACAAAAAAGGGCCATCACAACCAACCAGAAATAACATTATTTTTAAAAAAATACCTAAATTTCTGGTCTGCAGATGTTTTGAATAGTAAAGTGGGAATTAAAGATGAAAAAAGTGAACCAAGATGATCAAATCAACAAAGGAGATGAGATGACAGCATTAATTTTGTTACATGAACTTAGCTATTTAGGAAAGGAAAAAAAAAAAAAGAATATGGTACGTACCTTCCTAATAGCTTGACCTGATGCTTTCTTCCCAATAAAGTTCTCAGAGACTCCAACCAGAGCAGCGACATTTTGTTCTGCTGGACTGAGTTGGTTAAACTACATAGAAAAAGAATATAGAGAAAAATTAAATTGTAACTTTAAAAAGTCTGCCATTAACCAAATCTAGTAGTCATACCACATTTTCATTATTATAAAAGCTATGAAAAAATAACACAAATTTTACTTATAAGTATTGCAAATACTATATTAGAAGTAATACAAATAACACAAGTATTTACTTACAAGCTTGCAATATTTACTTACAAGCTTTACAATATTTTTAATGTATTTTAAAATATAACAAACTTCAGTAGAATGAACTTAAAGACATGGCTGCAAATACTGTAACCATGGTCTATGATTTTCATGGACTGTGTTTATGTTTCATATGGGAGATGCCTACGGGGAGGGAGAGGAGGGAAAGCTTTTGGAAGTAATTGCATTGTTTATACACATGTGTTTGTGTGCATGTGCTCAGTCATGACCAACTCATGGACTGTAACCTGCCAGGCTCCTCTTTCCATGGGATTCTCCAAGCAAGGATACTGGAGTGGGTTGCCATTTCCTGCTCCAGGGGATTTTTCCGACCCAGGGATCAAACCTGCATCTCCTGCATTGGCAGGTAGATTCTTTACCACTATGCCACCTGGGAAGACCTGCATACTGCCACTGCCTGTTCACAGTAAAATCATAGTAGACCGTATTATACCACTTGGTTTTGTAACAGGTACAGCCAGTTCCGCCTTGCCAATGGCGATAAAGAGGATTATTCTTCTCAGGTATCAACATCACTGGGTTTGGTGTGACAGAACGTGACACTGTGTGTGACTCTGATAGAGCTTTCATGTAATAAACTCTCAACCATCAGCAATGGTTTTCTTTACATTTCAGGCATTAGAAAATGGAGTGGTCACCACATCCCAAGAGTAACCACTTTGAGGGGATGGGGACCAGGCATGGTCCTTTTTTCTCTTCTGCACCTTTCTTCAGTCTTTTTTCTGGCTATGAAAATATACTTGAAATTGGGGCTTTCAGCTGTCGAAAGGCCCAATTTCAAATATATTTTAATAGCAAAAAAAGTGAATAATCACACAATAAAAGTCATATTGTGATTATTTTAGCCTGTATTGCAAAATCTTTTCTTCTCACCTGCCTGAAGTATATCATCCAATCAGGGTCACACTGAGACGCCATATCATAGGGAGTTGTTAAGTAGATTAGATGAAGAAGGCTTTCGAGCATAAGTCCCTCAAGACCTTTCTTCAAGTCTCTGTAAAGAATGTCACAATAAGCCAAATCTATTGTTCCTAAAAGAAAGACACAAAGAGTTCATTTTTCATAATCACCAAAGGAGGAAAGAGGTGATTTTAAAGAAAGTCTGGTTTACCCAAACAAAGCAAAAGTCTTGAGGGACTTCCCTGGTGGTTCAGTGGCTAAGTCGCCACACTCCCAGTACAGGGGGCCCAGGTTCTATCCCTGGTCAGGGAACTAGATCTCAACCTGCCACAAATAGGAGTTCGAGTGCCACACTAAAGATCCCTTGCCCCCAAACAAATTAAAAAAAAAAAATTCTTTACAATTTCTTACTATGTAACTTAGCACAAAACTTAGGAGGTCATTTTGATATTATAGTATCCATCAACATTTAATAAGTACATACCTTCTGACCTAATTAATTTATTCTTGGGAATCTAACCTAGAGAAACATTTCCACACATATCCAAAAATACATGAACACAGATCCCCTTGTTTATAACAGAGAAAAACCAGAAACAGTGTAAATGTCCATCGAAAGGGGAATGGTTAAATACATTACAGTATCCATAGTACAGATGACTATTGTACTAAAACAAAAATGAGGTAGATTTAAAGGGATTGATGTGAGAAGATGCTCATAATATTTTTTTTTATTTTTTCATGATATTTTATAAGTGAGAAGAGCAAGCTGCCTCCAAATACTTACACTATGCAATATGTATGTGTGTGCATGTGTGTGTGCTATATATACATATATGTGTACATATATATGTGTGTGTGTACATACATGTAATACAAAGACAAATATACATACACAAAATACTTGGAAGAGTATATATACCAATTTGTTATGAAATTTTCAGAAAATGTCTGGAAAGATACATACCAAATTGCTACTCTTGGTAGGATACCAAGATTTGTATGATTGCTGGGCGAGGTGAGCATAAAGGAGGGGGGACCATTTTTTTCTCCATGTATTTTTACAGTATTCTGAATTACTTGCAATTCAAAACATTTTTCAACTTTTAAAAACTGAAGTAGTTTAACAGTTTGTAAGATAAGATTATTATTATTAATATGAAATTACAAATCTAATTTAGAGTTACAGAAAATTTCTATTTTTTCCAATGCATTTCCTCAGATTCACAGTCAGATTCAGGTAAGCTCTTACCCTTAAAAGAAGCTCGTCCCAACTTTGTGATATGAAAATTATTTTGGAACTCTTCTTCAGACCCATAAATAGTATCTTTTTGTAGAAGTCCTTTTTCTGTCAAGTATCTAAGTGATTCCACAGTTATTTCCCAGAGACTTTTTTCTTTCAACAAAACCTTTTGCTGAACACCAAAAAATGTACCACTCATAAAACGATATATGTCATCCAGATTTGTTGCAATCTGAAACAATTCAGGATACCATTAGAGCAGCTTTTCTAATTCAAGGCATCATTTTGAATGAATAATTCATCAACATGAGGACTCATTTCCATACCTCAAAGCTATTCAAATAAAAAATCATTATAAAATCTACATAGTTGCATAAATGTACTTTTATAATAATATTTTTAAATGACAAGAAAAAACAATTGAAGGGAGAATATATTTACTATATTTATACTCTTAATGAAGACATCTACACATTTCTGATTCAAAAATCCTTAGGTTTTTGAGTAATTTTTCACAGTATCTCCAAAGCTGTGCGCTCTGCTCACTCCCCACCAGTTATCACTAACTCCCACTCAGCCTCCTTCAGAAATCCTCCCTCTACCCCCCTCCAGCCACATGTGAAAATATTCTTTAGCTCTAAAAATTGTACTTAAAAAAACACATATGGAAAACACAACTGAAAGTCTCCACTAAAAGCAGGATCTGGCAATACTCTCCCTGACATTTTACCTGAAAATAAACAGCAGTTATCTACCTCTTTTTGTCTCTTGCATCCCCATCTCCTTTCCTTGTTCTTTTGCTGCCTTTTTTTTCTCGCCCCAACTCACTGTTTAAAACTTATAATAGCAATGGCGGTATTCAGACGTAGAGCTGACTCTGAGTGTGCATAACTTATATTAGCCAATTTCAATGAAATCAGCATGTTATACTAAAATATAGTTGATCAATAAGCATATTTCTCTCTGTTTCAATTCCGATGATATTTTAGTGGGAAAACTTAAGTAGTAATTTCACAGTAAACCAATATAAAGGATAACAAAAAATATTATGGAGCAGGGACATTTCCTAATGTTTTTTTTCCTTTTAATAAAAGTCCATCCTTAATATAATACTCATTCAGGCTAAAACTGCACTTTTAAGATATTCAAGAACTGATACTCAGTTTATAGATTATTAACTGAGTACCGTTAACACTAGGGGTAAACAAACCAACCAACCAACCCCTCTACTTGATCCTTCTAGCTACCATCACATTATCTTTGTATCCCTCTGTAATTGATTTTAACCCACTGGGATAGCTTCTATCTCTGGCTTCTCAAAGCTGGGTTCTCCACTGTTGCCCCAACCTGCAAGTTTAGCCATGACCAACTCCAAAGCCAGACCATAATTCAAGTATTTACTGAGCAGCAACCACATGCCAGGCACTATGCTAGTCACTGGGATTTGGTGATACAGGAGATTAAACGTGGACCTGTCCCAGGACTTCATTCCTGGGGGGTAAAGTTATCAGCCAAAGAAAGTCACGAACAAGAATACAACTACAAACTGATGGGTGCTACTAAAGGAAAGAAGTGTGTTTCTGTAAAGAGCATCCAAGAGACTGACTGCACTCGGTGGGAAAGGAAGGCTTCCCCAAGGAAGTGTGGTGAAGTGAAAGTCCGATGGTGGAGTTGGGGTGGGTGAGGGTGAAACGAGATGGAGAGCTGAGACGAATGAGTCCCAGGCTTGCAGACCACTGCGGCAGGAAGGGCATAGGATATGAAATGAAAACAAGCCAGTGTGTCTGGAGCGCAGTGTGAGAGCATGCTGAGAGACGGTAAGGACGCAGAGAGAGGCAGGGGCCAAACCTACACAGCGCTGCTGCTGTTCAGATGCTCAGTCATGTCTGACTCTCTGTGACCTCATGGACGCAGCGCGCCAGGCTTCCTAAGGGCTTCCCAGGTGGCCTGGCAGTAAAGAATCTGCCTGCCGATGCAGGAGACGCGGATCCGATCCCTGCATCGGGAAGATCCCCTGGAAAAGGAAATGGCAACCCACTCCAGTAGTTTTGCCTGGAGAATTCCATGGATAGAGGAGCCTGGTGGGCTACAGTCCATGGGGTTGCAAACGAGTCAGACATGATTCAGACACTCAACAAGACAGTGATAAGGGATCTGGACTCAATCCTAACAGCAGTGGGAAACAACCATTAACAAATTTTAGGCAGAAAGGGATTTATACTTGGGGAAGACTGATCTATTGAAGAATAATATGGAGGGGGTGTGTGAAGGCAGGGCAGAGCTGATGCCAGGAGACCAGCTGGGCGACCATCATAGGGATCTAGGCAGGGCCTCAGCACCTGGAAAAGAGAGTGCAAGCAGCCTATGTGACCTCTTTTGGCCTCAGGTTCTTTTTCTTGTGAAAGCAGAACTATACTATTTCATTCAAAGGTATACAAAGATCAGAGATAAAACATATCAAGTGTCTAGCAGGGTGTCTGAAACATAGTCGTGAGAAATGATCACTGGAGGCTCCCTGCATCCCAGGGCGCAACAAGTGTTATGTTCTAATTCCTGGAGTTTCCATCTCTTCCACCCAAAACCTAGTGTCCCCAAGGATGCCTGCCTCCACCTCCTGCCTCTTGACCTCACACTGCCCTTCTCGAAGCCTCTCACCCCTATCCCACTGGTTGTTTCTGTCCGGAGGACTTGATTTCTCCTTCAATCCTAACTCCAAAGAGTTTTCTGCCTCTCCACCGCGTCTGTAATTCCAGCCTCCTTCCACAACTAGGGCCCTGTGATGAAGCTCTACCCCAACGTGCAGGAAGAACCCTGATGGCCTGTTCTCAGCATGGAGCCCAGGAGCCTCGTAATGGCAGGTTTGGAACAGCAGTTGCCTACCAGCTAATCTCCTGAGCTGACTCAGCCTGGTCTTCTTGCTGCTGTACTTCAATTGTTAACACAGAATTTAACTGAAACTGTTGAGCCCTATGGATCTGGCATTGCAGGCCCATAAAACCACACCCCTGTGACCAAGTCGGTTCCTCCAGGATTCCTGTACCTGAGTGCACTGGTCTCAAGTGAAGCCTCAATTCCATTGTCTTGCATGGAGTCCTAACTCATGATATACTCATACTTGTCAGAGGTATATTTTCTTCCCACCTTTTCACTGTTTAAGTAGCATCTTTTGAAGAGAATTATAAAAATATAAGGTCTATTGATTTTTTTCTCTCATGATTTGTTTTTAGTTTTCCTTATAAGACATCTTTGCCTACCCTAAGGCATTTCCAAATAAATTTCAGTATCGATCTTTAATTTCCAAAAAAAAAAAAAAAAAGAACAAAACCTGTTGAGCTTTTGATTGGGATTGCACACAATTTATAGACCAATGTGGGAAGAAGTAACACCTGAACAAAAGTGGGCATTCCAATTGATGAACATGGTATCTCCGTTTATTTAGGTCTTCTTTAATTTCTCTCAGCAGCGTTTCATAGTTTTCGGTGAGAGCAATTTACACAGGGTAACAAGAGACGGAGCTGTGGCTGGGACACAGGTGTGTGTGACTTGAGAGCCCTCGCCCTAAACCAGCACAGAACACTTGGACGAGTCCTCCACTGATACGTGACTATGTTACAACTCTTCAGTCTAGTAATTAAGCACTCTCTCCCATCCTCTCCAACTAAGGCACACAGTCCGGCCCAACTTCCCACCCAACTTTCCACTCTCAGGTTATCTTCAGCCCTCCTCTATAGCTACAATATCTGGTCTTTTGACTGTTATTCCACATCATCTTAAGGTTTCTCATCTTTCAATTTAAGTACCTGGAATGGCTTATACCTTCCCTCTGTTTATCTAAAACCTCTACCTCCTTCAATACTGAGGACTAATTCCTCTTCTTTTCTGTAGCCTTTCACTCTTAAAAATGCCAGGGGATAAAATATTACACCATTCATCTGCAAGGCAACCAAAATGGTCTCATGATATCTTTTACTTATCAATTACCTTTTGAACTTTCACTTACACCAATTTGGGATAATAAAGGTAGGCTATATGATAAATTAATAAGAGTCCTGGATTTTAGTTAGATAAAGCTGAATTCAAACACTGGCTTTACCAGTCTGGGACTGAGGGGCCTTGGGCACAAGAGAATAAGCCTAAAAAAGAGGTTTTACTCAAGAATAACCTGAAAAAAGAAAGTCAATTTCTAATCCTAGGGAAAAGAGTGTTTTCCCATTGTGCCCCACCCAACTTTTTTTTTTTTTTTTAATTTTCTGCTTGATAAAGGCTAAACTGACTTCACAAATGTTTATTATGATCAGAGGACTTACAGGGGATCTTTTCTTACCAAGGCAGAGATGCTGGATTATCTGACATCAGGACCCATGCTTCTAAGGCTCCTTTACCCCCCACAGTATCCATCAAAGTCTCTTATTTGTAATGGATGCCCAGTTATTATTTGTTCCATACAATTCAAAGGATTAAAAATGCACATATAAATCCAGATTCAGATTTATCATGTCACAGACTGCTCTTTTTCACATTATATAGACGTGAACTTTTTTCAACTTTCTTTACAGTTTTCAAAACTTTTCAACTACCATTGTCTCAAATAATAGCAATAAGATATAAAAATAATAATAAAAAATACCTTCAAACCAATCAAAGAAAGAAACAAAGCTTGGATTCCCTTGGTGAATTCCTGAACAAGATGGCTATAGCAGTTTTCCAGTGGTCTGCTTATTAACTCCAATACCTACAAGAGTTAAAGCAATACTATGTTCCACATTATTATAAAAAATAAATTGTGTTTCATATAAAATTTTATAATTTGCATAGATCTTGTGGAGGCTGGGAGAGAGAAAAAACAGGCAAAAAAATAAGAATTGAGCAGGTATCCACATGAAAATGGAAGAAGACAGGGAAAATGCTTTTCATTGAAATAAGAGAACTATTCAAGCTACTCTTTCTAATGCTTAATCATAGAGGAGAAGGAAACATTATTCAAAGGAATAGTAATAATTAATTTTTAAAAGATGGTATCAATGGGCAAAATTAAAGATTGAGAAAAGACAGCAAAACAACCAACCAACAACCAGATTATTACCTGTTGCTTGTCTTTTTCTTGCAGTATAAGGATACTCTCCCCGACAGAATCTATTCCAGCACGGCCAGCTCTGCCAATCATCTGTTTATACTGATTCCTCTTTAAAAATTCCTTAGCAACATAGGGGGCTCTTAATATAACTCTATGGAATTGACAAAATTAATTAAAAGTGATATTAGATCTATACCATTAGCATCTATTTTTAAACTCTTTGTTTCATTATTTTTATATGATATTCAATTTAGTGACATATTAACTCAAAATAATATGTAACTGCTATTTACCAGTAATCTATATTATGATGTCCTAGGTTCCTTATGTACATTATCTGTAATCTTACAAAACTTGTGGTGATAATATTCTTATGTACTTTAATTTTCCTTTACAAAGTGGTTGACTGAGGCACAGACAAGTAGCTTATCAAAACCAACAAGATTAGTAATTAACAGAACCATAATTTGAGCTTAAGTCTGCTTAGCCGCAAAGCTTATGATCAATCCACTACAGCAATAATCTCAAAAGGTTTTTTGATTTGATACTCCATAAATGAAAAATCTGATCACAGGCCACTAACATATGCATATTTATTTATGAATTTGTATTGTCAACTACATGAAATTGCAGATTTCAACTGTTTTTGACCTACAACATGGTGATTTCAATTCTATTTATGTATACAGAAGTCTATAGCCAGCCTTCCTGTTCAAAGGTGAGAGAAAACCTGTGCTATTTACCTAAACTATTCAACCAACTCCTTTATTTATAAATCTCAGTGGACAGACAAGATTATCGAATACATGAAGAAAACCAATTACATAGAAGAAAAACAATGAGAACATACAGAATATACATCTGACAGAGACAGATAATATAGGGAACAAAGAAGAACTTTAAAAAATTGAATTAATATGCACAGAAAATTCTGGAGGGTACTGTATTTATAGTAGAAAAACAGAGTACTATAAAGAAAGAACAATACAAGAAGAAGAGTTCTTAGAAATAAATTAATTCATTTAAACAATTCAACTGAAGAACTGAATAATGAATGAATATAGTTAGTGGGATATAATTAAAAACTGATTTTGTAATATAGAAAGTAAAGGAGTTACATAACTCATATAGACTGAAAAACATGTAAAAAAAGTTATGAGAAATGAAAGACCAATTGTCTAACTGAAGTTATAAAAGCAAGAGAAACAGAGAAAATGGAAGGAAAGAAATAATACAAGAGATAACTGAAAATAATTACTCTAAGATGAAGAAAGGCATAAAACTTTAGACTGAAAGCATGTACCCAAGGGCTATGCCCTATAAATCAGAAATAGCTAGGGACTTCTTTGGTAGTCCAGTGGTAACAATCTGCCTGCCAAGGCAGGAGACACAAGAGATGTGGGTTAATCCCTGAGTCAGGAAGATCCCCTGGAGTAGGAAATGACAATCCACTCTGGTATCCTTGTCTGGGAAATCCCAAGGACAGAGGAGTCTGGTGGGCTATGGTCCATGTGGTTCTGAAGAACCAGATGCAACTGAGCACACACATTATAAAATGTTGAGGTTAAAGAGAAAAGCCTACAAGCTTCTGGAGAGGGAAAAACAGCAAGCCTATGTAAGAACAAAAATGTCCACCACTAGTTCCTGAAAGACACAGAAGAACGCTACAAAGGCTCCTAAGGGCAAACACTGAACCTAGGATTCTGTTTGCTGCGAGGTGTCCAAGTGTGAGGCTAAACTAAAGATAGCTTCAACTATGCAAAGGTTCAAAAATTTTTATTTCCAATGCATCATTTAAAAAGAATTACCCAAGGATGGCAAAATAAAAAATGGATCACAGAAGGAAGATGTTTGATACAAAGGGCAGTGGTAGGCAAAACAAAACAAAAAACCCCAAAGTATGATTTATTGGTAAATTTAAATAATTATTAATTATAAGATGAGAGAAGTTGATGTTTGGTAGAAACCAACACAACACTGTAAAGCAATTATCCTTCAATTAAAGGTAAATAAATTTTTTTAAAAATGAGAGAAAATTAAAAATCTAGACCTAACATTTTAGGAAACTGCAACAATACATGAGACAGTGTAGAAAAAATATACAAATGCTAAGACTCTTGTAATGTTGAGCAGAGGATACAGTTATCAATACTAAAATAATAGAAAAACACATTTGATTACCACTGTTAAAATTTTAACTTCCTTTTTTATTTCAACAATTGTCTGAAAAAATGGAAAACTTACTAAATGACAGAGTTTGAAAACCAAAGAACTGAAAAAGATATAGTTGGCAAAAAAATATATACATAGTTCTAATGTTCAAAATAAAGTCACTCTGAGGAAAACAAGGACTTATTCTATTGACAAAAGGTGTAATTCAGCCACAAGATATTTGGAATAAACTTTTATATACCTAAACAGTTGTGAAATACAAAGCAAACAATTGTAAAAATGTAAAGAGGAGAAGTTGATAATTCCATAATTACAGTGGGAAACTAACATACGTCTCTGGAACTGACAGATCAAAGAATCACAGGGAAAACAGAGGAGCTGATAACATGATTAATAACTGCAATCTCATTGAGATATATAAAAGTGCATACGCAACATAAAATATATAGTTTAAAGCTTTTGGATGACTTATAAAGATTGACCATTTATTTGGAAAAAATAGTCACAAATTTTGGCATCATCAATAACTAAGAGTGGAAATCAACTGTACAGGCCCACAGCTTTGGTAATAATTGAAAAGGTAAACAAGGATCTACTCTGAAAAAAAAAAAAAGATACCATTAATAGACTCAAAAGTCATCATAGATGAGTTCTCTAAGGTGTCAAGGAAATCTCTATGCTAAATAAACTCTTTCAGATAAAAAAAAAAAAAAGAATGGTCGAAAGCTTGCCAACTGTTTCTACATAACTAGAATAACAAATCCTAATATCAAAACCAGATAGGGAGAGGACTAAAGAAAGAAGGAATAATACTAGCAAGAGATCTACTAAGGGACTTCCCTGTGGTCCAGTGGTTAAGAATTTGTCTTCCGATGCAGGGGACACAGGTTCAACCCCTGGCTGGAGAACTAAGATCCCACCTGCCGTGGGGCAACTGAACCTGCTCACAACTAGAGAGAAGCCCATGTGCTGCAACAAAGAGGCCATGAGGGGCAGCTAAGACCAGACACAGTCATATAAATGTAAAAAAGAGAGAGATTTACTAATGCCATTTTTCATTAAGCTATTAAAGGAAATTAACCAAACAATCAACTCAGCAAACGCTGAAGAAAGCATTTGATAAATTCTCATTCATTACTGAGAAAGACTAAAACAATTTAAAAAAAACAAGCAAACCTACTGGCAAGCTGGAAACTGAAAAGTCTGGAGCCTGGCCGACAATGGCTGTGTCTTACCTTCTCGCTGGTAGGTTAACGCCTGCGGCGAGGGTGGATGTGCAGGTGAAGAGGCAGAGGACCCCTGTGGAGTAGGCCTCCTCCAAGAGCTTCCTTTCGTTGCTGGTTAAGCCACTGTGGTGATAAGCAACTCCGAACGGGATGGTGTGCTTTAACACGCGACACAGGTTGCCACCGCTGACACTCTTCAAGTTCTTAATCACCTCCTGTTTTTCTTTCTCTTTGTGCTTCAGATATTCCCTAGGGAAAAGATCTGTTAGAACCTTTGATCTTATAGGGACAGAGCACGTACCATTTGAATTTTAGTAGCTACATGTAAATATTCTCCTTTTAAAATAGTGTTACTTTTATTGACCTAAGTACATAAAACATTCTTAGAATTCTAATTCCGACTTCATTAACAGGCAGTTTCTCTCAGCCTATTTGGGGATCACAGAGTCCTATGAAAATCTGCTTAAAGCTAAGGGAAAAAACAGATATTCACATTAATACAACACTCTGCACATAATTTCAGAGGTTTTGTGTACTTCTGAAGTTCAATCCTGTACTTCCTATGAATTCATGAATGCTAGGTTTAAACACCTGCTCTAGAAGTTACATTTTTTTTTTCACAAGAAAATACATCTTCAGTGCAGATGAATTGTTTTGTCATAAATTTTCTTCTCTGAAGAGAAAAAAATCTATATATTATTAAAGCATATGAATTATATATAAAACACTATCTAAACATTAGCACTTCAGAAGTCTCAGTAATATCCTACAATGCCTCCTTACCTAGAAGCACCTATTTTTCTCAATTCCCTTCTAGAAAAGAAAAAAGGAAAGACCAAGTATAACTACTAATTGACTGTAAAGCAACAACTTCTGAATACCAGTAGCAAACAAATATAGTCTGTGTGCGTGCTAAGTCATTTCAGTCGTGTCCAACTCTTTGCGACCCTATGGACCATAGCCCGCCAGTCTCCTCTGTCCATGGGATTCTCTGGGCAAGGAAATTTGGGTGCGTTGTCATGCCCTCCTCCAGGGGATCTTCCCTACCCAGGAATCCAACCGTGTTCTTTTATGTCTCCTGCTTTGGCAGCTGTGTTCTTTACCACTAGTGCCACCTGGGAAACCTGAAAAATATAGTCTAAGATATAAATATAATACACGCAGCTTTTGTAGCAAGCTCGTTGTAGCTTGTTGTATTGTTGTAGCAAGCTTCATGGAAAGCACAGACAGCTCTGACTGGTGCCAAATGCACAAGTTCAGTAATTTCATAAGAAGTTGAGAAATGGACAAAGTTGAGAATGGACAAAGAGACAATGAACAATGGGGCAGGAAGTGATCGAGAGTCAACAGTGAAAGAACCAAAAGTGACAGCTGGGTAGGGAGCGACAGACTTTATGTTACTATTTTCCAGTCAGAGCTTGAGGTCCTGAAAGGGACAAATTCTTCTCAAGGAATTAAGTCTTAAGGATAATTATCCTATAATTTAAGAGAAGGGAGACATTATTTGTAAATGACCAGATAAGACATGGATCTATGGAGAAGGGTTTTGTGGGGGGAAGTTGAGATGTGAGCTGGGTCCTGAAGAATAGGTTAGAGGTGGCAGTTGATAGCTTAGTGGTGAACAATACTGCCAGATTCGTCATCTCCAAAGGAGAAGATTTAACTCTGGGACCAAAGACAGTCTCAGTCACTCGGAGCTTTGTGTAGATTTTATTTAAAGTGAAAGTGACAGAAAAAGCTTCTGACAAAAACATCAGAAGAGGGCAGGAGAGTACCCGCCTCACTAATTTAAGTGGGGCCTTATACACTGCTCACCTAGCTGCTGAACAGATAAAAAATACTTCAAGGCTGTGAGAATTCTGCCCAGACCCTTTCCCATAATGTACACCCTGGGATGACATCAGCACGAGATTAGCCGGAAGGAACAGGTTAACCCAGAGTTCAGGGCTGTGGAAGTTTTTAACCAGACCTTCTCCCACAACATACACCCAAAGCTCAAAAAAAGGCACGTCCTTGAACAAGAGATACTGCTGCCTACAAGGCCTACTTGTCTGTGTCAAAAGAATGCGAAAAAGAAAGAATGCTGACCTGCTCCTTAAAGGGGCCTTAGGCTTGGACTCCTTATCAACCTGCCTAAGCTAACTCTCACAGTGAGGCAGTGGGGAAGTACATTATTGGCAGAAGGTAAAGCATGAGCGCAGGCATGGAAATGGGTGATTCAAAGCATCAACAAAGGCGGCAAGTAGGGACGTCCCTGGTGGTCCTGTGGTTAAGAATGTGCCTGCCAATGCAGGGGACCAGGGTTCAATCCCCGGTCAGGGAAGATTCCATATGCTGCAGAGCAACTAGTCTGTGTGCCCCAATACTGAGCTTTAGAGCCCGTGATCTGCAACCAGAGAAGCCACTGCAATCAGAAGCCTGAGCACCACAGCCAAGAGCAGCCCCTGCTCGCTGCAACTAGAGAAAGCCTGTGTGCAGCAACGAAGGCCCAGCACAGCCAGAGACAAATGAATAAAAGAAGACAAGGAGTTCAATCTGGATGATGTGCCGGGTAGATAAAGAGTAGAAGAAATAGGGATGAAAAAGTAAACTGGGTCAGATTTTAGCATGAATCTAGGCTAAGAAGCACTGTGGTATCACTATTAGGGAGATTTTTAGGGAAAGTGATACAATCAGAGCTTTGGCCATTGTCAGGAAATAGTGTTTAAAAGACATTCTTTACTTAGAAGTCTAAAACACTAACAGCCATAAAAAAGATAATTTTCCTTGAGGTTGAGACAATCACTTGGGGAAAACTCTGCTTCAGTCTTTGCACTTAAACACACATAATAAGCATATTCTAGGAGACTGTACTATACCTGCTTCCTGTGAAAGTTATGATTAGGAGGCAAATAATTAAGATAAGGACTGATACTCCATGACTTTCAAGAAATTATCTTTTGAAGATACTACTGAGATCCGAAAACATTTAGCCCTAGATTATATTCATCTATGTATAAATTACAAAAAAAACAGAAAAAAGTATGCTCTAAATATGACATTTTAGTTAACAGCCACTAAGATGGGAGCTAAACTATTTTATTGTTTGTTGTTCAGTTGCTCAGTTGTGTCTGACTTTGCAACCCCATGGACTGCAGAACACCAGGCTTCCCTGTCCTTCACCAACTCCTGGAGCTTGTTCAAACTCATGTCCATTGAGTCAGTAATGCCATCCAAAGATCTCATCCTCTGTTGTCCCCTTCTCGTTTTCAATCTTTCCCAGCATCAGGGTCTTTTCCAGTGAGTTGGCTCTTCGGATCAGGTGGCCAAAGTATTGAAGCTTCAGCTTCAGCATCTCTCCTTCCAATGAATATTCTGAGTTGATTTTCTTTAGGATTAACTGGTTTGATCTCCTTGCAGTCCAAGAGAATCTCAAGACTCTTCTCCAGCACCACAGTTCAAAGGCATCAATTCTTCAGTGCTTAGCCTTCTTAATGGTTCAGCTCACATCCATACATGACTATTGGAAAAACCACAGCACTATATGGATCTTTGTAGGCAAAGTAATTTCTCTGCTTTTTCATATGCTGTCTAGATTTATCATTGCTTTTCTTTCATGAAGCATCTTTTCATTTCATGGCTGCAGTCACCATCCACAGTGATTCTGGAGCCCAAGAAAATAAAGTCTGTCACTGTTTCTATTGTTTCCCCATTTATTTGCCATGAAGTGATGGGACTGGATGCCATGATCTTAATTTTTTAAATGTTGAGTTTTAAGCCAGCTTTTTCTCCTCTTTCACCTTCATCAAGAGGCTCTTTAATTCCTCTTCACTTTCTGCCATAAGGGTGGTGTCATCCGCATATCTGAGGTTACTGATATTTCTCCCAGCAATTTTGATTCCAGCTCGTGCTTCATCCAGTGTTTCTCATGATGTACTCTGCAGAGATGTTAAATAAGCAGGGTGACAATATATAGCCTTAATGTACTTCTTTCCCAATTTTGAACCAGTCCATTGTTCCATGTCCAGTTCTAACTATTGCTTCTTGACCTGCATACAGATTTCTCAGGAGGCAGGTAAGGTGGTCTGGTATTCCCATCTTCTTAAGAATTTCCCACAATTTGTTGTGATTGACACAGTCAAAGGCTTTAGTGTAGTCAATGAAGCAGAAGTAGGTATTTTTCTGGAATTTTCTAAGGATTTTGAGCATTACTTTGCTAGCATGTGAAATGAGTGCAACTGTGCAGTAGTTTGAACATTGTTTGGCATTGCCCTTCTTTGGGATTGGAATGAAAACTGACCTTTTCCAGTCCTGTGGCCACTGCTGAGTATACTCAGGACCTTTACCTTAAGAAAGCAGCAAGTAATATGGAAAATGTATTTAGAGGAAATTTTCCTTCAGAAAGAGTTAAGTCCTATCTCTTTACGAAAGTATCAAGGGTCCATCACAATTCACTAACTAAAGGTTCCGGGGAACCAAATATTTAAGTACGTCAATATTAAACATCAACATTTACGACCCAAATAAACTATTACCCCCGAAAAGCAAAATAAGTCAAGGGTATAAGTTGATCAACAATCAGTCTCATTTCACACAGTCAAAAGTCTGTCTCTAAATTACCCCATCACTTATTCGGTACTATATTACCTTATTCCAAGAAAACAAATGACTCACTGAGCATCCCTCAATGATAATTTAATTTCCTTAGGTTTTTATAATCTACATCATCATTTTAAAGTCAGACTCTGTTACTGAAATGGGAAACACTCCTTGATTTTATCCCAAACATCTGCATCTTTGTGCTAGCCAATGAATTTAACTCTGTATTAGGCCAATCCATGACAGTAGGATTGTAGGGGCAGGTGGAGGAAGGCTGGGTTCGAATCCAGGGTACTGATCTGTGCATAGTCACACAGCACTGGCTCAGGGGCCCATAAGAAGTCTGAAAAATATGCTAACACAACACATGGGAAAAAAACATACAGAAAAAACTAAAACTTTTCATACTTAAGGTCATTTTACACTTATCTCTATAACAGAGCCCATGGTAAAATACTATACAATTACAAAGCAGTACATTTCTTTATTATTTAGCAAGTTCAGTTCGAATGTACACACAGTCCAAATGTGAAGCTTACTAAGAAAACAAAGGCAACAGTATTTAATTACAGAGAAAGTTAAGCCAAAGATATGATTAAACCCTACACTGCTAAGTCCTCTGATCACATAGGCCTTCATCCCTACAGTGATTATTGATTAGTCTTCTGATCACATGGTGCTTCCCTGGTAGCTCAGATGGTAAAGAGTCTGCCTGCAATGCAGGAGACCCAGATTCGATCCCTGGGTTGGGAAGATCCCCAGAAGGGAATGGCAACCCACTCCAGTATTCTTGCCTGGAAAATTCCATGGACAGACCATGGGGTCGCAAAGTATCAGATACAACTGAGTGACTAACACACTGATCACATAGGCCTTCATCCCTACAGTGATTATTGATTAGTCCTCTGATGACATAGGCCAGCAGTTGACCTTGGCTGTATGTTGGACTTGCTTAGGAGCTTTATAAAATAGTGGTACCTGGGTCCCATTCCCAAATATTCTGATTTGTCTTGGAGGTATCTTGGGCACTGAGATTTTAAAAAGGCCCCAAGGTGACTCACTGTGGAGCCAAGCTGTTGTTTAATCAGCATTCTCTTACATGTAGCCTTAGAATTTTTCTCTGGCCATTTCACATCTGTGAATTTCACAGTTCAGCTCTTTTTCCCTCAAGGCAGGGACCTTTAGAATCTAGTATAATAACTTAGCATAATGTCTGCAAAAAGTAATCAGTGCTTGTTAAACAGAATACAGGCATGTAGATCATGATAAAAAATGAAACAGAATATTTTTAAAAGATTAACATACTTGCTTAAACTTTTGCATATCATTTCTGCTACATTTTCACAGTTCTTCTTAGTGGGACAAAAAACTAAGCAGGAATAATTGGGAATAACTTCTGTCACCAGTGCGACCAATTGATCAGGATCCATCTTTTTCAGAGTATCGGAATACTGCACGACAAGATTTATGAACAAAGTAGTTAGCAACCATGAAAGCCTTTCACTTTACCAGTGTGCTTTGAAAGGTAAGTAAATCAACCATAATTTTGAACTTCTCATTTAATAAATATGACCATTTAAAAGAAAAGATGCAACCTATATTACACAGCAAAATGTTAAGTCCCACTTTTGTTATTAGGGTTTTGTTAGGGGTATTTAATTTTAAATAAAGGAAGTGAAAATAATCAATTTTATTAATAACTCTATGGCCCGCCCATCTTCACCAAAGCAGAAAAAGTCCATAGAGAGAAACACAAATTGATCCTAATAATAGTCAAAGAACTGCATAAATAAGTTAAATCTCTTGCTAATACTAACAGTTTTCAAAAACATATTCAATCATACTACAGGACATGTTTTCAGAAATACAAAATATATTTATCAAACAGACATAAAGAACTCAAAGAACAAAAAAATGTAAAGTTATTTAAAATCTCCTCACTTTCTTAAACTTGACTGAAAACTAATTAAGATACAGATTTAGAATAATATACCTTTAGGTTGTTGTTTAGTCGCTCAGTTGTGTCTGACTCTTTTGCAACCCCGTGGAGTGTAGCCTGCTAGGGTCCTGTGTCCATGGGATTTCCCAGGCAAGAATACTGGAGTGGGTTGCCATTTCCTTCTCCAGGGGGTCTTTCTGACCCAGGAATCAAACCCCTGTCTCCTGCATTGGCAGGTGGATTCTTTACCACTGAGCCACCAGAGAAGCCCAATATACCTTCATGGAATAATAAAACTGCTGTAAAATTCCTTTCTCCCTTTTCAATGTCCTCCATGAAAACCACAGAACATTAGCACAGTAGACATCCATATTTTCATACACCAATATCTGAGCTATAGAGCTCACAAATATTTCTTCTTGTATTACTCTTGCTGCTGAATGAATAAACATTTATGGGAAAGCTCTCCAAGCTTTCTTGGTCCATGGAGCCCCAAGGTCAAAGGAAAGTTTTGATTATTAGGTAGTCAGGTCCAAAGAACAAGGATGCATTTCTTCACAAATAAGTACCCATCTGAATAACAACAAATTTCAGTTGAAAAAAAAAATTTCATTTCATTCTTAAATAACTATTGTTACCCACTAATGAGAAGTATGCACACCTGGGCCCTGCAGTCTTTCAAACCAGAAAACCCTTATTTCCTGTTACACATTGATTTTCACATGGTATTTGCTTACAGTAAGTGCAAAAAAAAAAAAAGAAAAGAAAAAAAAAATCACCAACTTCACAAAGATATACTATCCTAGGAAGTAATGTAGTGTGACATTGGAAATTGTCTTGAACCAGTCATTTGTATGGTGTCCAACAGATGTCCAGCATCAGCTTTTTTTGTCTGAAATATATAAACTGTCCCATGGTACCCACGTGACTCCTTTGCGGTGTCCCAGGGCAGCTGGGCACAAAGTCTAGGAAACTCAGCATCAGGGATCATCAAGGTTACCTTATAATTAAGGAGGCGTGAAAAAGTCATGCCATTCTCAGCTCTGCTGTCTACTTCATATATTGTGTCATTTATTTTCAGGTATTCTTTTAATTCAACCTTGAATTAAAGGGACATTTGTAATTAATATCACATATAAATTCCTCTTTATAGAGTTTCAAATTTTGTAAAATATGTTATAAAACAGTACAAAAACTTTATCTTTTCTAAGGTATGCAGAATACTTCAACTTAAATTTATTTCTTTTCCAATTAAGTTTTTTTCCTTTAAATCAAAATAGGGATTACTATCCTTGAAAAAATACTTTTGAATTAAATAGCCACATATCTAAAAGGAAATTCAGACACTTATATTTGTCACAAGAGGAAGTAAAAGTGAGCCAAATGTTCACACTCTATCTTTTATTAAGGAGTTATTTGTGTTACTCCTCCAGATTTAAAAGTTTATTAGTCACCAGTTTTAATGTGAATACCATCAAATTATTTTCAACTTAAGTATCTATAGACAAAAGGGAGTTTGTAAATAGAGCTTACTGAATTTTTTCAAGAATAGCATTGAGAAGCTCAATGCACTATCCACTGTACCACACAGCCACCTACAGAACCACCTAACTTGACAATTAAGGTCAGGAATTATCTCTTGAAAATTCTCACATTTGGTGCAAATATAAAAACACCAAATTTCAAGTTAAAATTTGGTGATTCTAAAAAATTATATTTTGAAAACCTATTTAGACACAAGAGACTACAGAGTACATGTACATTATAAGCTTCTCTCAAATAACTATGAACAACATGTACTTACTTTCTTCAAGCCTTTTGGGAATACTGTTACTGGGGAGTTTAAATTTATATCCCCGTGAGGTCTTAATTTATTTTTAAAAAGCATAATAACTATCAAAACTTAAATCTTTGAAAACATTTTAACTTTTAAGATAAACTTTTGTATGTGTCAATAACTCAAAATGTGAATCACTAAATTCTCACCAGATGGAAAAATTTACCTTACAGAATGTAAAGTGGAAAAGCAGAATGGGTCTGAAAATTTTCATTTAATAAATATTCACTGAAGGCCCGTGAGCCGGGCACCCATCCCGGCCAAGCTCCCTGACCCCACAGTGTATGTTCTCTCCACACAGACTTGTTAGCATTTAGACACAGTGAGTGGCATTATGCTCCTTCATCACTCTCAGAATTTTTATACAGTACGTTTGCTACAAACAGAAGATGATACATAACAAGTCAAACCTGAGGTACATACTGGTCTAAACTGACTGGTGTAATATTCTGCTTGCAGGAACTCTTGCAGGTCTTCAACATTGTTTAAGGTTGCACTCATACCAATAATTTGAGTCGTTTCTAAAAAAAGAAAAAGTATTGAGAAAAATGTGTTATTTAGTATATCATAACAGTAACTTTAGCAACCTTCCCGTGTTTGTACTTTTTCCAGAATGACGTGGGAAAGAGGGGGCAGGTAAGACAAACACAGCTGACCGTGAACGAAATGAGGGTTGAGGACACCACCCCTCTGCGCAGGTGAAAATCCGTGTAAAACCTGGAGGTGGCGCCGGCCCTCCTTATCTCCACTCCTGCCTCTCTGGACTCAACCAACCACAGATCCTGCGGCACTGTAGCACTTACTACTGAAAAAACCCACTTACAAGTGAACCCATGCAATTCAAACCCGTGTTGTTCAACAGGCAACTCTATAAAACCAGACTATTAACCTGGCAGATGATATTACTCAGAAGAGAGGTATAAACTGGTCACACAAATTGGGAGCCATCAGAACACAAGACGACTTTGAATTCATGCGTATGGATGAGAATTAGCAGAAACTGTATGAGGAAGGAAACAAGGGATGAATCTATGGTATACGATCAACGAATACGATGAACACACTTAGAAAGTAGTGTCACAAAGGAGGACCAAAGGAGAAACTGAAGAGAGCCCTTTTGTCCAAATATCTATTAAGTGTAAGGCACTGGTGACAGAAAGACACATAAATATGTACCAGTATACTTATATAAATAAGTATACAGCAGCAGTATACATAATTATACACATAAGTATACAGAAGCAGCATATATAAATATACATGTAAGTATACACCAGCAGTGTACATAGTATACAGCAGTGGACGTAAGTATACACGTAAGTACACAGTAGCAGCATGCATAAGTATACAGCAGCAGTTATATAAGTATTCATGTAAGTATACAGCAGCAGTGTACATAAGTACACAGCAGGAGTGTACACAAGTATACAGCAAACACATGTCCATTATGTGCAGGTACTATGCTAGATGCTTCACAAAGACTCATGCTATCTCCACAGCAATTCAGTGAGGAAGGTTCTATTACTATCCTCCATTTTTGATGCATAAGGAAAAAGAGGCACAGTTACTATCAGTTCAGTTCAGTTCAGTTCAGTCGCTCAGTCATGTCCGACTCTTTGCGACCCCATGAATCCCGCAGGACACCAGGCCTCCCTATCCATCACCAACTCCCAGAGTTTACTCAAACTCATGTCCATCAAGTCAGAGATGCTATCCAGCCATCTCATCCTCTGTCGCCCCCTTCTCCTCCTGCCCCCAATCCCTCCCAGCATTAGGGTCTTTTCCAGTGACTCAACTCTTCGCATCAGGTGGCCAAAGTATCGGAGTTTCAGCTTCAGCATCAGTCCTTCCAATGAACACCCAGGACTGATCTCCTTTAGACTGGTTGGATCTATATTATGTAGTATACCTGCCCAAGGTCACATACAAAGTTAAAAGTGAGCCAGGATTTGAATCCAGCTGCAGAGTCTGCCCTTAGTCATTACACTGTTCTACCTCTCAGTGCTAACACATGATTGGTCTTACAGAAGGACAATAGAGAAATGTAGAGAGAATGGTGTTTCAGCACCCAAGGGAAAAAAGAATGAGTATTCAAATACTGAAAAGAAATTAAGACAAGCACTGTCAGTGTACACTGGATGTGACAAGTAGATGATCCTTCTCCCTTCATCCTCTGCTTTGTATTTTTCCATAGAATGTATCACCATTTGATACTGTTTCCTTGTTTATCTGCTTATTATCTGTTCACTTTCACTAAAATATAGGTTTGATAAAGGCAGGGACTTTGTTTTATTCACTGCTACATCCCTAGCACTCAAAATAGGGCCTGACATGCAGTGGGTACTCAATAAACATTTTTTAATCAATGATTATAAAGTGCTACAATCTGCCTAAATAAGTTATCAAAATTTTAAAAATAATTCTTAAGATTTGATCTTTATGATGGATAATTTTCTATAAACTATTATAGTACCTAATAGGCTATTGCAATAGTATATAAAAATAAACATTTAGAATAAATATATCATATAAATTTAGAAACTATCTGATGGTGCAAATAGTTCCTTAAAGTGACTATTTACAGACGTTTTTCAAATGATATTGATGGTGGCGATAGCAGCAAACCTTTAGTGTGCTATGTGCTGAGCATGGCTGAATGCATTGGTCACATGTGTTACCTCATGTAATTCTTACAACAATCCCATCAGGTTGATACCATTATTGTGCCCATTTCACAGATGAGGAAAGAGTGGTTGAGTCACATGCCTAAGCACACAGAGCTAGTAAGTGGAGGATACTGATGGGGACATCTTCAAATGCTAACTTCATTGATCTCCATGATTCTACCCATGCATCCAACAAAAATGTATAAGCTTACTTTAGAAATAAAAAACTAAGAAAGCTTAAGCATCTTACTCTAGGTTACATAATCTAGCTAGTGACAGAATTAAGTCTTTTATAGGTCTCTTGATTATAAATCAACTAGTGACCACATTTGGAAAAAAAAACTTACTGCTCGTGTAGAGGATTTTTGCCAGAGTCATTTCCAGTATAGCCCCACGGCTTCCTTCACCAATCATGTGCAACTTTGAGATTAAAAAAAAAAAAAAAAGGATAAAAGTAAATCTGCATATAATACCTACATAAAACAAGCATATATTTGATGAAATGAAGAAGCAATGTTTGCTTTATAACTCAAGCATTTTAGTTATGGTAACTAGAGTACATATACATTATTTCACTGATATTTTAAGTTAATGAAGTTATCCCTAGGACAATGTCCTGGCATCACGAATTCATCAGTACTATTATAAAACTGAACATATACACATAAATTTACTCTTCAAGAAACAACTGACACAAAACTGAATTTGATTACCAAGCATTAAATGCCTTCATCTAAATACTGTCTATATCTTAAAATACTCATCCTCATAAGGTATTAAATGGATACACATAATACTGTTAGTACAATAAAAATGTTGATAAATCAACAAACATAATAACCAACCTCATCTACAACAACCAGACCCAGACTGCTAATTCTTCCAGTTTCAATCAAGGAGTTCACCAGACTATGTCCTTTTTCAATAGTGGCAATATATAATGATTTCTTTTCCCTTCTTTTAATTGGAGGAAATTTTCCTTTGCTTCCAGCATACTCCTCAACAAAGAAACCCAGTTCTATACCAAAACTTGACAAACCTGAAATCTAGAATATTAAAATAAACAAAAAAATTCAGATAAATAAGAACTATATTAAGTGTTTACAGGGATTTAAAAAAATCTAAAATAGTGTTTAATATAAATCAATGGGAATAAGGTTACAGATAAAGCATATACATCTAAGAAGTGTCATAACTAATGTATTGATCCTTGAAGTGAAAGCCACTTTTAAACTATGTAATGAATGTAAAAATAAATTTTAATTCTCTTCTGATATTAAAAAACATCAGAATAACTCATTTATTTTGATAAAATAATTGGTTAGTTTCTGCTTGAAAAAGCATGCTAAATATCAGTAGAACATTTGAAACGGAGTTTAATTCACAACTTTGGGGGAAAAAAACTCTTTCTTAAACAGGTAATTAGTATTAGAAGAGATTTTTATTAAGTACACCACACTGCTTCTACACATCCTAAAAATAATAATTCTCCATCAGTAAGGCTACCTCTTCTCAAGCAAGAAAAAGTTGTTACATTTATTCTAATTTTTGTATCTGAAAGTGAGAATAACATTAACAAACACCATTTTAAAAAATCACACCTTTTCTTGAACAATTGCTACATATGGTAGGATCATTAAAACATCTTTTCGTCGGCATAGTAGTTCTTGTAGCATTAAAATCTCAGCCACGAGGGTTTTTCCACCACTAGTTGGCAAGGAATATATTAAATTTTTTCTTTCTTGCACAGATTTCAATGTTAAGCAAGTATGTTGCCATTCTGTGGAATTGAAAAAAAAGAAGAAAAAAAGCCTTATTTTTTCCTTCTACAAAGTTTTCTAAGAAGAAAAAATCAAATCCTATCCTGTGTAGCATCTTCTCATAGTAATAAATGCAACTATATATAAATATCAAAAATCTCCAATGCATGGTGTGCATACTAGTTCAGGCCTGGTTGGTGGGGTGGGCAACTAGTTCACCCAGTTGCCAGCTGCAGACTGAGGTCTAAGATCCCACCGGGCAGGCAGGCCTGCTGGACAAGAGGTATCGCCTGGGACATCAGAAGGGCTAAGGGGCCTTTCAAGGACCTGTGTGAATTCTAAGGCCTTTATCTTATGTTCAGTAAGGACACTGTGTAAGCCTCCCTTCCTCATTCACCCAACAGAGAAACAGAGCGAAGAGGAAAAAAAAAAATTGAGAATTTACACAAACCTAGAGACTATTCAACCAGCTTTCACAGGGAGCTGGTTTGAATGGTCTGAATACCATTTTAAAATGATGAGAGGGACTTCCTGGTGGCCCAGTGGTTAAGACTCCACACTCCCAGTGCAGGGGGACTGAGGTTGATCCCTGATGAGAGGATAAGATCCCACATGCTGCATCTAAGATCTGGTGCAGCCAAAAAAAAAATCCTTAAACTGATGAGACTGCTTAAACCATAAAAGACTAGGGTTATTAATTACAACATCTAGGGTTTCCCTGGTGGCTCAGTAGTAAAGAATCCACCTGCCAACGTAGAAGACACAAGAGACATGGGTTTGATCCCTGAGTTGGGAAGATCCCGTGGAGAAGGAAATGGCAACTCACTCCAGTATTCTTGCCTGGGAAATCCCATGGACAGAGGAGCCTGGTGAGCTACAGTCCATGGAGTTGCAAGAGAGTCGGACATGCCTTAGTGACTAGACAACAAAATCTAGAGTTTCCACAAGTTAGCAAGGTGGAATTCATGAAAAGGATCATATTAGATCCAAAATAAAATGTGAAAACTAGTATAAGTACTTTCTAGGAAAAGCGGACAATGTGGATCATCAAAAGTCTTCAAAGTGTGCATTACATTTACCTCTAGAAAAATGGGCAAAAGATATGATAAGACATTTCACAGTATGGAGAAATGCAGGTGGTTTATACATACATGAAAAGATGCTCTACTGTTACCTATTAGCTTGGCAAAAGAAAGAAACCAATAAAAAGCATTAAATAACTACCTAAACAAAAAGCCCCCCACATGTAAAATACAGAGTTGACTAGAGCAGGAACAAACAGGCACTTTTGTGCGTGGCTGATGAAAGTATAAACTGCTACAGTCTTTTTGGGAAGCAATCTATCAGCAACAAACATAAAACTGCATGCTGCCTTTGATCTAGCAGTACTGCTTACAGAACTCTACACTGACAGAAAAAGCATGTGCATATGTAAAGATTATGTGCAAGATGTTCACCATAGCATTGCTTATATAACAAACAGCCAACAGGGTAAACACTGAATTATTACACAATCACATGAGCTAATTATTTGCAGCCTGAAATATATGCAAATGATTATGTATTTTTTACTTTAAAAGCATTTCAGGATTTTACAGTACAGGGAAATAATAGCCATTATTTTGTAATAACTTTAAGTGGAATATGTAACCTATAACAATATTGAATCTATATTTTGTACACCTGAAACTAATATGTTGGGTAGGCTGCAAAGTTCATTTGGGTTTTTCCACAAGCTGCTGCTGCTAACTCACTTCAGTCGTCTTCGACCCTGTGCGACCCCACAGACGGCAGCCCACCAGGCTCCCCGTCCCTGGGATTCTCCAGGCAAGAACACCAGAGTGGGTAGCCATTTCCTTCTCCAATGAATGAAAGTGAAAAGTGAAAGTGAAGTCGCTCAGTCGTGTCCGACTCTTAGCCACCTCATGGACTGCAGCCTACCAGGCTCCTCTGTCCATGGGATTTTCCAGGCAAGAATACTGGAGTGGGGTGCCATTGCCTTCTCCGCCACAAGCTGCTATAATGTTGTAAATCAACTATGCTTTGATAAAAAAAATTTTCAAAAATATTTAAATACATTGAATATTTAATACTTAAATATTAGAAAATACTTCAGGCCAGTATCACCCATTAGTTATCAAACTGCAGATGTTTATGTGAAACTACATGTCCCCATTTTATCCAACTCAGAGTTTTAAAGTATAAAATGACCAAAATAATAAATACTTGGAAATAACATTTTTCTTCACATACTAAAAAAAGTTACATTAACTTAGTTCCCAATATTTTTATAAAACACACTAAGCATGTAATTCTATGCCTAAAAGGCAAAAACAACAGTACTGTATAAGGTTGAGGTTCTCTAACTCAGGAGCTCTCAAACTTTCTGCACATCAGGATCAGGAGGGGTTATCCAAGCAGAACGCCAGATCTCAGCCCAAAGTGCTGACTCAGGGGGGCTGGAGCAGAACCTGGGAATGCGTATTTCAACAGATTTCCAGGTGATGCTGATGCTGCAGTTAGGAACTGCACTTTGAGAAGCGCTGCTTTAGCTCAATGAAAAGTAACACACATATTCATGCTTTAAATTGGTCATATCGTCATCAGATTTACAAATATTGAGATTTTAAAAATTATTTACTAAAGTTCTTACTTTAAAGCAAACAATATATAATTACTGACAGTCATAACCAAAGTTCAACTTGGCAAGTTCTTGACACAATATAACTGGCAAAAAAATTATTATCCCTTTTTAATAGATCAGGAACTAAGGCTCAAGAGTCCAAAACCTGTGGTTAAGTGACAGTGGCAGAACCCATCATCAGATTGACAATCCCCAAGATCCCACATGTCATGCGACAACCAAGCACATGTGCCCAACTACTGAGCCTGCGCTCTAGAGCCCTGGAGTCGCGACTACTGAGCCTGCGCTCTAGAGCCCGGAGTCACGACCACTGAGCCCATGGGCCCTACAGCCTGTGCTCTGCAACAGGAGAAACCACTGCAACGAGAAGCCTGCACACCGCAACTAGGGAGTAGCCCCAGCTCGCTCCAACTAGAGAAAGCCGCGTTCATCAATGAAGACCCAGTGCGGCCAAAAATAAATCAATAAAAATAAATCTTAAAAAAAAGAAAAAGATGAGTTAGGTTAAGTCTCGTCCTGAGAGCAGGAGATGCAGATGAAACATAGAACAAGGTGCTGGTAAAAAAGCAGAGGGCAGAAAAGTAACATCTGCTTCAAGGACAATACACACCTTTAGCTCTTGAACTGCAAACCTCACAATATAGTTTGTTAGACTCTTGTAAAGCCTTGTATTAGACTCTGTTTCCTGTAGTCCTACTTCTCCAACCTCAATGGCTTCCCCCCTGAGATAAGAACCCATGTTTTTAGGTGGCTCAAATACTAACTTAGTAGTTTCAGAAGTAATTATGAAGTGATTAGATAGGCTGCTCTTTCAGGATGGCAGCAAGTGTCCCTTCTTTGTCTAAAATGACACATATTTGAAAATATGCAAGGAGCCAGGATTTTTGAAAAAATGTTACAAGACAAATTAGCTATTACTACTATTTCTCTGCATTTAAACCCTAACTAAAGCTGAATTTAAAGATGTTTAATTAACAATATTATCAATACTGACTCACTCAAGACATCTGAGTAGTCAAAGGAATTTCAGCAACTAAGTTTTGGTAGCAAAGTTAACAGTCAGTCAAGGAAGCTAAGACGACTGAGGAGCAGCCAGCTAATTAGGGAAAAAGAAAACAAACAAACAAAAAAAGGAGTGGAATGTCAAGAAATGGGTGTTTCAAGAAGGGTCTGGTCAGTTATGTTAGGTAAGCAACTGAGAAGTCGGGGAAGAACTAAAGTTTCACTGGGTTTACACCCCAGTCATTATATAATAAGTGACAACGCAGACCCCAGAGGTGGAATGGGCTGGGAATTATCTGAGGTGAGGAAAAGGAGACAGCAAGGATAACAGGTTGGAGCAGTGTGGCCACGAAGGGAAGAAAAGAAATTCAATAGCAGCAGGATATGGATGGAAGGCTGAGAGGACTGAGTTTTTGATTTAAGGTGAGAAATAGGACCATGGAAATATCTTTTTTCTACTGATTTGCACCAATATTATGGTAATGAGGGTAAATGTCTTTTCATTCCAGCAAAAAACATTACCATATAATTTTTCAATTCCCTTGAACTGAACATAAAGATCTCTCACTTTGCTGGGTAATGAGTAAAAAGGACCAAGGTCATCTGATGATGACTCGATTGTTTTCTTAGCAACATTAATTTCTTCAGATAGGAGAGTCTCTTTGAGCTGTTTAGTCCTAGAAAATATTGGTGTTTGGGCTTTGGCATTTCCAGTCATGGTGCTTTTTAGATGATCTTTCAGACTTTTTCTCCTATTTGCATCTGAACTAGTTCTGATTTTCGAAGAGGATTCAACAGTCTGCTGGGGCTGCTCTCTGCTATTAATGGGCAATTTCTCATTCACAGTCTTAGGAGAGGATGAGTTCCAATTCTTTTCTTCAGTAGATGGATCACCCAAATCACTGGAAGGCTTATGCAAATTTTCAAAGAATAAAACCTGAGAAGAAGGTACATCATACAAAATATCAGCTTCAGGTTCAATAGCGACATCTTCATGCCTGCTCTGGTTCCTCGTGTGCTCATCTATATTTAATTCTGTACAGTCACCTGCGGTAGGAACGTTGAGTGTGTTATGTTTATTGCTTTCTGAACAAAGACCTTCAGTGGCATGGTCTGTAGCATGGTTCCTATGTTCAGGAAGTTGCAAATACTTCTGTTCCAGATCATCAACTTGAGCTAAAAGAGAGTTCTCAGCAAAGCTATCATAGTCACCAAACATGTCCTCTTCACTGTCAATAATCTGGAAAGAAAACAAAAAGATTTATCGTGGAGTCCAGCTTCATTAAGAATAAAAGTTTCAGCTTAAAGCTCTCTTAGGTATATAATTGTATGGTCACACATGGATCACAGACCTAAATATAAATAATCCTATAAAACAGATACTCTTGTTCCATTTTACAGATGTAGATACGGAGACCCACAGACGTTAAGTGACTGACATCAACTGTACTCCTAGTGATGCTGGGATCCTAATTCTTAAGCTACCGTTAAATCCTTTAAAATGGTAGCAAGACCGACGGCCATCTACTGGGAGGGATATCATCTCACTAGGCGTTTCTGATAACCGCAGTACTGTTTCCCGTCCCGTCTGCAGACACTGGCCTGCAATAAAATCATGCTTGTGCTACCGGGCACTCCAAGAAGATTGTTCTTAGAATAGAATTGAAAGGGAAAGTCTGACTTGGGACGGTCTGTAAACAGAAGAGGTATAATTTGGGGGTAGCAACATAGGGAAGGGATTAAGAACACAAGATTTGTAATAGGAAGTGTAGTTTCTTTACTTCTCGGTCTCGTTTCTGTTGTAAAACCTGGATAAAGCAAATAGCTTAACAAAGCCCCTAACAGGTCTGGGTACTTTTAGTACAAGGAGAAGCAAAAACTTGGAAGTATAGGTTGGTGTCATGGCATTCCTTTTATGTCTCAAGGTCTATGTTTCATAATTATATATATATCTACGGGGGCTAACAGTGAGGATTAACAGCGATAACAAAGATGAGGTAAGCCCAAGAAGGCTAGTAGATGACCTGTCAATTGCTTGCACCTGAGACTGGAACGGCCGAACTCGGGAGTTTCAAGTTCCACGCCTTTCAGTGAGCATGCGCAGTGGGGACCTGGGTCTGTATCATCACTCCAAAGCTGGGAAACAGAACGAGGAACTCATGGGAATCTGAGAGGTGATGGAGCTGTACCTCGACCGGCTGCACGTCCACGGTTTTCCGCCGCCGGCTCCCGGCCTCCATCTCCTCGTCCTCCTTCTCCTTATCGCTGGGCTTAAGCTCGGTAGCGGGGCAGGCGGCAGAAACGCTGTCTAGGCTATGACGGTTTCTCTTGCGGACGGATACCCGCCTGCGGATGCGGGAACCACCTTCGTCCATGGCAGGGCCTGAGGGCCCAGCCCCAACTTCGTTTCCCGTGACCCAGCCGCCAACCCCCTAGTGGAGGGTTAAGTGCAGCAACGAGGGGAGAGTAGCAACATGTGGAAGCTGCGCTCCCCTCTCCATCCACCTTGGGAGGACCGTCTTGGGACCAGAAGCGAAGGCACAAACCTGGGAGCCCGCCCTCTCCTCGTCCAGTCGTTAAGTGTGCTGGGCTGGCGGCTCGGCAAGCGGTGGGGGCGGGGTGGGGGGAAGGGGAGGAGAAAGGGAAGGTACTGCGCAGGCGTATTGAAAACCCCACCTGCTCTTTTGATTCCTGGTAAACTGCGGAACCTTTGAACCGAGTCCTCGGGCCTCTAGGGGAAGTACACCGGAAGGGACTTGTCAGGACGTTTTTGGAAAGAGGAAAGGAAGGGGAGGAGCAAGGAACCATGGCTGCTCTGGCAGCAGTCTGCAGTGCGCTAGGGAAGAGAAAGTTTACGCGTTTCCCAGCGGCTTTTGTCTGCCTCACAAATCCCGGTACTCGTGCAGGTAAAGTCTCCATATCCTAGGCTCTTTTGTAGCATTGCAGCCATTGGTTTAGCTCTAATTAGGCCGTTGGAGCCGTCGCTGTTAGCTAAAGAACGCCGGTGTTTAGGCGATTGTTTCTCCAAAAGAAGTAGGCATCTGTAATGGCCCGTATTTTAATTGACTAGTATTTTAAAGCTGAAGAGGGCGTGAGATGTCGTCCAGTACAGTGTTTTAACGTACGAGGAGCGATTCTCGAAAAGAGGCAGGGACTTGCCCAAGATCTTCAGGTAGACTTGGTAAGGAAGGAGCATTTTCAGAGTCATCTAGCAGCAAATCGCAGATATCCGAGGGCCATGTGACATAGGCCACGGGATCTGTCACTTCGGCACTTTTATCTGCTTTGTGCTTTTTTTGTAGAGTCTGTTTTCATTTTCCCTTTGGTATGACAGTGCCTTTCAGTTTGCATTAAAATCTGTCTCAACCCACGGGAAATAAATTTCAGGAACAGGTGAGAGGTTGTATGGCTAGTGGTATATATGCCCTTTTCCCAACGCCCCAGAAAGCATATTTATCCTAAGTCTACCACTGCCTCAAACCTAAAAGCCCTTTACTTTGTTAGTAATAATGAATATAAACCTTTTACATTGTGTCCCTTAGTTCATCTTGCCTCAACAGAAACACAGTCTTTCCTTAGCTGCTGAGCTAACAAAAAATACTTTGTTGCTGTTTCTGTTTAATTGCAGTGCTGTGGAGAAGTTGTTCACAATATAAACAGGTAACCAGCGATGAGGACCTGGTAAGAATTTTTTTTCTTCCTTTTTAATAAGGCATTTGCAACTAAGACCAGATTATGTTTTAGCTTTGAAGAGCTCAGCTGAAGGACGAGGCAATTAAGATAATCATTAATCTGAGTTTGAAAATTGTAATCTATTGATGAAAGTGAAGTCGCTCAGTTCTGACTCTTTGAGATACCCCATGGACACCAGGCTCCTTCGTCCATGGGATTTTCTAGGCAGGGGTACTGGAGTGGGCTGCCGTTTCCTTCTCCAGGGAAATTTATTGATGAGTAGTCACTTAAGTGAACTTTGAGGTAAGCGAATTCCTAGATTCTTAGCAAGAAGCATGACTTCTGCAACACCATATTTTTCTTTCTAGATACATGCTCTGGGAATTAAAAAAGGTGGTTTTGATGCATGCTGTAATTGCAGAAAGTCCAACAAAGGGGTTGTGCAAAGTTTATCCATACCTTGACTCCCTGTCCTCATTTCAAATTCAATTCTATTTTTATCTTAGTCATTAAATTTTTATACCAGGATGTTAAATACCATTTCTTCTAAACAGTAGACGTATGTTTTTTATGGATTTCAAGTACTAGCATTGGATTTAGGCAGTATAGCTTTTCTTGCTACATACAATTTGATACTAGTTAGACCACATAAAACACATAGAGAAGGAATAGTCATTACAGGTGAGTTGAATGCAACTTGCATTAGGAACATTTGAGGAATTGGAAGAAACAAAAGAACTCCTATAGTCCCTTTAAGCATCCATCTTGGTCATCTAATTCATACCATAGTCATGAGAGTAAGTGAAATTATTAGAGCTTCTCTTTAGGTCCTTAAATTCCACTGAGACTCTCATGAAAGCTAAGGGTTCCTCAGAAAAAGGCACAATGTCCCATTTATTTGAAGTTTTTCGTGCAACTACAGGGGCTGAAGACTTCAAAGCCATTTCTAGATTCAGAATCTGTATACTGGAGACACCTAAAGTGATTTTAGGTCGGAGGCCGTGTGATGGAAGCTTTAGAAGCAGTAATGAACAAAGAAAAACCAAAAAGGCTGGCACAAACTTATAAAATAGCCTGGGACTGTTTTAAATTGTTATAAAACAATTTTATACTACTATAAAATTGTAGTAGAAAAAAAATAATAAACCTGGGAAGTATTACATAAGCTGTGGAGACATTGGGGCCTCCCAGGTGGTGACAGAGGTAAAGAATCTGCCTGCCAATGCAGGAGACATAAAGAGACGTGGGTTCAATTCCTGGGTTGGGAAGATCCCCTGGAGGAGGAAATGGCAACCCACTCCAGTATTCTTGCTTGGAGAATCCCATGGGCAGAGGAGCCGGACTACAGTCCATGGGTCACGAAGAGCTGGACACGATTGAAGTGACTTAGCACACATATGGGGGCATTGTCTTTTTATAACACAAAAATATCAGTGAAACATCTAGAGAAATGTAGGGATGGATCTAGAGATTATACTAGTTTAAGAATTGCATATGTTATCTGTTGTGCTGTCTTTCTTAAGTATAAGAAGTTTTAGTCACCTACAATCTGGGCAAAGCATTTTTAATCACTTACTGAAGATTTTATTTTTTTCCTCTGATAAACCCTTTTTTCTCCAAAGGTGGTATTTTTCACAGAATCGTCCTCCATCAATTAATCCCTCCTTAGCCAAACTAAAACAAGATATTTGTACAAAATATGAGTACACTCAAACCTTTAAAATGGCCTTTTTTAGAAATAACTCTTATTTTTCTTTTCTAAGCCAAGCTGTTGTTATTTTCACAGTAAGAAAGGTACAACTAATCCCTTGGAGAGATTTAAATGTGGTACCCTAAGATTTAAGTTTTATTCAAAGTTAACACAAAACGCATTATCAGATTTTTGTTTTCTTCCTTTATGCTAGCCTATTCCAATGGAAAATCCTTATAAGGAGCCTCTGAAAAAGTGTATCTTGTGTGAAAAGCGTGTAGATTATAAGAATGTACAGGTGAGATCTGGTTTTACTTCACTGTGATACTTGATTTGGGACTTTTGCTCTTTTACTAATACAGTAGAGAAGCAAGTTGGCTTTTATAATAGGCTTTGTGTAGGGGTGACTGTTTTGGCTTCGTAATTTCAAATCTGGTTATACTTTTATGTATAAGGCAGCTATTTTATGAAAATAGGAACCTCTTTGCTGTCCTTCACTTACTCTTAATCATCTCAGTGTCTCTTGTTTTTTGCTTCGCCCCAAACCTCTAACAGTGGCTCCCTGTGGCAGTGATTCCCAGTCGCTGGAGTTGAGTAGTTAGGGAAAAGCTCCTGTGTTGAAGTTGCTATCTGTACCTCACCACCAGTATCACTATTTTGAATTCATTTTATCTGTTGTCGAGCACTCAGCAGATTAAAAGTGGCAAATTTGGGGAAGAAGATGGTGTTGGAGTTAAGTATACTGATAGTATAAAGTGATAGCTTCTTTGGTGGGAGAAAATCCAAGAAACTGTAAAATGCAAGTATTAGGATTAATAAAACATAAGTAACAGCAAATGGCCTGATATACCTGTACATCTTGAAGACCTCACTATAGTCTGATATTATGGGACTATCATGACAGATGGGATGTTCTGTACCTTGTTATAAGCAGCAGTGCTTTAGAAGTTATCTATGGAGAAGTCAAAAAAACAGCTTTAGCACTGAAAGAACATGCTCATTAATCTGTTGTATAGACTTTTTTTGGACACACTGGGGAAGAGATGTTAACTTTCGCAATTACTTTAGTTACTTAAAAAAGATGACCTGTTAATAGAATGAACATAATTCTTTTTATCCGTATTTTTGAAGTTTGTCTAAAATTTATTAATAAGCCTTTTATAGCTTGAAGGTGACATAAGGTTTGTGTTTTGAAATGTACACAAGGTTGAATACAAGCATATTAACATAAAATTTTTTTCCTTTCCAAATATAACTCAAACCAGCTTTTATCCCAGTTTATTTCTCCATTTACTGGATGCATTTATGGAAGGCACATAACAGGTATTTTGTTTTCTATTACAGCAATTTAAATGTAGATAAGCCTACTTCTGTTATTTAAAAAACGGGCAGATTTTCAAATATTGCCACAAATTACTATTAGACCAACCTATGGATACTTTGAGAAAGTCTCTTCTGAGGCTAAAAGGGTAATTATTTTGCATATCTTCTTATACTCAGTTAACTATAGGGTGACAACAGAGAGAACTCGGGCTTTGCTGTTCTGGAATACACTGTAGTCATCCTCAGGCCCTCATTTAAACCAGGGGCCTATTGCCTACAGGCCAGACCGGATCTGCCACTTGCTAAATAGCTTAGTTTCCACAATGTCTGAGCTACAAGAGCAGAATTAATGATGACAGAGATCTTGTGGCCCACAAAGCCCAAGGTACTTATTCTCAGGCTCTATACAGTTTTCCAGCCCTTCTGTGACATAACTGTCATGCATTTTGAATGTTGGCATTTTTTTTATGAATAAGAAAGTATTTTCTTTTATAGGTCTTTGTGGGAAGAAACAAAAAGAAATCACAAAAGCAATTAAGAGAGCTCAAATATTGGGTAAGAGCATCTGAAAAACTGAATTATGCTAAACAAAATTTTGCTCATTGTCTTTTGTGAAGAACTTTCATTCTTTTTTCACAGGGTTTATGCCAGTTACATACAAGGATCCTGCCTATCTCAAAGACCCTAAAGTTTGTAACATCAAATATAGGGAGTAAATTATATAAAGTTATTACCAATAAACATTTTGCAATAAGTGGTTGTGTGGTGCTAATACTATTAAGATTTAATAACCACTGAGTAGAAAAACAGGCTAAATCTTGTCAGACTATAATAAGTTTTTAATTCTTATAGTAATTTGGGATCATGAGTAAAAAGTGTTTCAGGAGTGAGGCTTCCTCTTCATCAGAATGCTCATTAGGTAAATCAGATTATTTAAAAAGTTAATACTTAAATAAAATAAAATGTTAATACTTGTCATATTTACATACACATATATTTTAAAATGTTAACACTTGTTACATTTAATGTACACATACATTTAAAAAATTGTTACTGTGGAGTCTTCACTTAAATCTGGCCCCCCAAACAGTTCATACAACACACTACTGACAGTGTGATGTCAAACACGGCAGGGCTGACTTGTACTGGAACTTGACTTTATTCCCAGATTTTTTGTTGTAAACAGGATTGTAGAGTATGGGTGCAGGGCAATGGGATGCTTGTGTAATGTACAAATCCCACAGGACAGGGTGTGGATTTGAAATTGTTAAGGAAGATTTCCTAACAAGCAGGTAAGTAAGCCTGATTGGGACCAGGCGTCTTCTCTCTGCAGATGTCACATGGGGATGGCCAGTGGTGCAGTCTGTCACAGGACCCAACACTCAGCTCTGGACTAGTCTATCATAAACTAGTAGTGTCCTCTAAGTAAGCCGATCCATACGCAATCTGTTCTACATCTCTTATTCCAGTAATACAAACAAATCCCCAAAAGACAAGAGAATGAGAAAAAAATGTCTTACAAGCATTCTTTTTCTCCTCATTCCCTGAAGGTTGGGACATCAAGCTTATTTTAAAATTAGGGCTCAGACAGAACCCTATTTCCTCTCCTGTCCTGTGCTGCTTAAGTAATTAATGAAGCAACCCCAACAGCAACTCATGATTTGTACACATCATCCCAGGTTCTATGTGGGCTCCATAAGCGTCCCACAGTAACCAATGTCTGTTAACACATAAATAAAAGATGACAGCAAATTCATAGCTAATATTAAAAAAAACATCACTTAGGAAGTCACTGATGGAAGAGCAATGTGTGGGTTCAGCATTTCACCCAGAGAGTAAAACATGAAGGCTTCATTTGATGTGTCTTCATGGGAAATTCTGTTATGGAAAAGACAGGCAAAAACCAAACCATGAAAGTGCTCTTAACCAACCTTCACTTAACAGGGGCTTTACATCCTCCTTAAAAACCACATAGAAGCCCACAACTATCTTTATCTGTTGAGTTCTGTATTACCAATAATCAGTTATTTTGTTCCCAGATCTGTCAGTTCTGTTTTTGTATTGATGAATATAAACATTAAAAAGACGTTACTATTGCAATGAAAACCAAGTAAAGTGCTTTGAGAAGACCTGATTAAAGGCAACTAACTTTTAAAAAAGTCAAATTAGGTGTGGTTAAGACAAATAAGATTGGGAGTGGGAAATGAAAAACCCTAGTAGCCTTTTGTACTTGGGCTGCTTTGCAAACGTCTTTAAAGAAACTAAAACTGGGGCTTACCTAAGTGATGGGTGTGACTCACATAGGAACTCCAGTAGTGTTAGTTGTTCGGGTGTGTTCGACTCTGTGGCCCCATGGACTGTAGAATGCCAGGCTTCTCTGTCTGTGGCATTCTCCAGGCAAGAATACTGGAATGGGTATTCTTCCCTTCTTCAGGGGGTCATCCCAACCCAGGGACTGAACCCAGGTCTCTTGCACTGCAGGCAGCTTCTTTACCATCTGAGCCACCAGGGAAGCCCAGGAACTCCAGTATAGTCATAAAAATGTTCCTGGCCCGACAAAAGTTTGAGAAATGAATATGTGCTTCTGCTTTATGTTAAAATGAAATCTCTGTGATAGACACCATTCATATTTATATGTATCATTTGAGTCCCACTTAATGGGCTTTTTCACCTAACTGAACAAGTGCTGATCCAAACACACTGCATTACCAGGCTTGTTCTGTACTCAAATTCTGGACTGATTCAATTTAAAGTATTTTATAAAATAAGTGCACTAGAACTTCCCTATGTGTTACTGCAGAGCTGAACACAGTAAAAAAAAAAAAACAAAAAAACAACCCACATCCGGCTTTCCCCTTCAGCTGATCAAAAATCTCCTTTTGGCCCAAAAGAATCAGAAGGTAGGAGACTCTGGATATTCACCAGAACCCTTCATTCTCTCAAACTCTTCATCTGTTTCTGGGCTGCTCACTGTGGATGCTTTTTCTTGGTTACTACTATTGCTGTCTGTTTTAGAGGGTCTGGTCTGTATCTCTCCTAGCCGTGACTTCTTGAACTGCCACCCATCATCTGTGTCTGAGGCTTTCCGCTTGGTCACCGGCAGGGCACTATGAGCTGGACTAGCTTCAGGAAAGTCTGTGTATTCCACCATTAGGGTTAGGTTGTCTACCCCACCGAGAGGGTGGGTGGTAGTACAGTTACTTCCAGAAATGCGCCTATTTTTCAAGGAGATAACACATGAATGAAGTTCACAATCCGGAAAAAAGGTCCGTAAAGCTTGACAAAGCAAAACATTCTCCTGAGGGTCTTTTTCGACATTCTTCTCTCCTAAACAAGCAAACAAACAGTTCAACATACAGGATCTGTACTACAAAGCTCCTGTATTTATTTGTAAGTAAAGGCAAAAGTACTTTAAAGAATTCTACCAGATTACCTACATTAAGAAAAACAATAATCCCAAATTTGTATGTTACACTATGCTAATAGAAAATTAAAGTTATATTTCTTAATGTCAAGATAGTATAGCTGCAGTTGTACCATGTTCTTCGCTGGGTGGGGTTTTAAGAATATTAATAGAAGTTATTTTTAATCCTCAGGTGGCAAGTTCATCAGCCAGTGCAATCACCTCATCCATAATTCCAATCAGTGAGAATTTTTCTTTAAAGCAAAGAAAGTAGTGATAACGTGAACTTTTTACTTACGTGTTGCTTGCATCTGTGCTTGTTTTCTTTTTTTAATTTCTCCTTTTAATCTATTTACATCATTTAGTAGTTTTTCTACGGCTCTCTCACTGTGTTCTACTTTTTCACATATACTCTGCAAAGTAAAATAATTTAAGGGCATAGCTAAACTTTCAAATTGTTACTACAGTCTAGGTTCACAATACAAAATCCTATATCATTGATTATTTCCCTTTAACATTTTATTTTTCAGTTTTCTGAAGGAATAAGTTCCCACTTAACACAGTTTTATCATTCAAGTTATTTCCTAGATAATACACAGAAAAGATATTTAACTTGCTTTGAAAAAAATTATTTTGAGATGCATAGTTACTGCAAACATGTAACATTAAGAAACAATAAATATGAAAAAAGGAAATTGTTTTACTATTAGAAAATAAAACAACTGATGATTTTAATTCCTGTAAAGCTATTTATGAAATGCAGAATGGTCTTAAATGTGTCATCAGTTTTTAAGTACTAACACCCTTTGATTCAGTGATTTCATTTTGGGAATATATCTTAAATAAGAAAAATTTATATATGATGATGGTTCTCAAAATAGTATCAGATCAAAAATAATTAATTTCCAACTATAGTGGAGTAAGCCTGTTTTCGTGCATACTTTATGGCACTTCTCCACCCAGCGTATTTCTCATCAACTTACGCATCCTGCCCTCAGAGTTCACCAGCAACCTTTCACCAACCCGACCCAAGCAGAAATACTACAGCAGCCAACTGGCCAAGTCCTAATCTCTCGAACAGAGATCTAAATGCAGAGGCTATAGGTTAGCTGCTTTCTCGTCAGCCAGTGGGTGAGTAAACAAGATCCGTAGAGACTGAAGGAAACCAGTGTGCAGACACAGGAAGTCCAGATGGCATTCAAGCTCCTTCCAAGGCTCAGTGACCGGCCGTCTTCCTCTCACAGACCTCTCCATTCCCTAAATTAGCCCAAGTTGGTATTTTTAACGCAAGAGTTCTAATATACTGCTCTAAGAAATATACTATTAAAAGGAACTAAAATATTAGAAATTACTTAATGATACATCAAATAAAAATCATGATACAAATTTCTATGTCCCCATCACTGTCCACAGGATAAAAGCATATTTGTTAGGGGAAAACTGAAGAATGTAGCAAAGTGCAAACAGTTCAGTTACAATGGTAAGACTCTTGACGTTTCTCTATTTTCTAAAGTTTCTGTAATGTTGTATTAAAAAAAAGGAGTACAATATTACTAGTGTGTAAAATGTATTAACCCCATTTCTCTTGGTGCACTATCCTGTGTGTGGTGGGCACGGAGCATGCTACTCAGATCCCCATCTGCAGGAAGCAGAGCTGACCGATGGCTCCTGCTGCTACCCTTTTAGATCCACTGCTGTGTTCGCACTTAGGTCACACTCCCCCCGGGCCTCCCTTAGCCAATGACTGAGCACAGTGAGGATATGACAGTCTATTCCTATAGGACCTTTGCTCAGCCTCTGCATCATCTGGCTGAAGTTTTTCTGGCCATGTAGTCCACAGCTCTTCCTATCCCCCTCACCCTTCTTCCTGTCTCCTCTCAGGTGTCAGACTTAACATGCCAAGTCTCCCTGCCACTCTTGGGCCCTCAGCTTTATTCTTCAGAGGCCTAACAAGCCACTTGCATGTCTGAATTCCCGTGCTGACGTCTACCTCTCAAGGGACCTGAGTGGACACAGTGAGACAACTCAGTACTGTGGCAGACTGTTCAGTTCTCAAATATTTGCTCCCCCTTTTATCCTGTAAAAGGGTCATATATCCCTGCCTACTACCATGGCATCCTCTGGTCAGTAAAATATGAGTGGAGGTGATATGCCAGCTCCGAGCAGAAGTTCTAAGAGCTGCTGTGAATTTCCACCCATTTTACTGCTCTTTTCCCCTGTCATAGATGAATTTGCCCCACATTAAGGGCTGGACCTCAGAATGAAGATGACATTTAGAAGAGAATGCAGCCAAGACACAATGTGAATGAACTTTTATTTCTGTAGGTCACTGAGATGGAGGTCTTCGTTAATGAAGCTAAACTGATACAAAAACTTATGTCTAGGCAACTATGAAGCTGTCCCAGAGTACATATTCAGTGATCAATGTGATATGAACTCTCTAAGAGATTTAAAATTTTTTTAATTGGAGGATAATTCATTGCTTTACAATGTTGTGTTGGTTTTTGCCATACAACAATGTGAATCAGCCATAAATACATGTATGTCCCTTCCCTCTTGAATCTCCCTCCCACCCCCCCACCCCCATCCTACCCCTCTAGGTTGTCCCAGAGCACCAGATTGAGCTTCCTGTTATATAGCAACTTCCCACTAGCTATCTGTTTTACATAATGGGAATGTGTCTATTTCAGGGCTAATTTGTCAATTCGCCCTACCCTCTCCTCCCTGCACCCCTCCCCCCCCCCGCCCCCGCCGTGTACACAAGTCTGTTCTATAAGAGATCTTTAAATGTTTAACTTACCTTTAATTCATCTTGTAAAGAGGTATACATTTCATTTATCTTCTGTACCTCCTTTAAAGATCCATCTTCTTTAAAAAATTCAGAGCTGTAAAAAAAATTACCATTTCTTCCAGGCAAATGTACAGAACTCATTTTAATAATACAATGAAAAAACTTCTATGTAGTTGAGGAATAATGGAAGATTGTTTTTATTGGCTTTGCAGGGACCATAATTTTGTTAACCTGTTTGTATACAGCAAAATCAACCAGGAAACCTAGTTCATCTATCTTCACCTCAGCAAACTTTTTAGCCTCCTAAATACTATTTCCAGGACTCAAAAAGAGAGGTTAAGTGAAAGTAGATAAAGACTCAAGGAGAGGGGTAGAGGAGGGATCTGTCTTGGCAATGCCATCAGTCAGTTATTTCACTAAGTTCAAGCCATCATTGATTGAAAAAGGCAACATTATATATATATACTATATATATAAAAAAGAAAAACAATTCTAAGGCATATTTTATAAAACCTCCGATTGAGATATATAAAACTTTATGTCTTAAAAATCAGTGAAACATGGTATTCAATTTCAATAAGACACTGTTAAGCACTGTGGGAACACAAAAATAAATAAAATCAAGTTCATTAATCTCATAAAATTTACATTTAGTAAGTACCCTACAGTACCAGTGCTGATTCCTGACATTCATTATTCCCTTACTGCTCACAAAACTTACAGTTCCACAGTTGACACTGTGAGTTTTGACTAAAGCCTTATTTTTCTTTCTTTAATATCCAGTCTAATTTTTTTGCCTTTATAATGTGAACTGCTATCTTAGAAAATTATTATTTTATTATTATTATTATTAGCTCCTTAATCTGAGTAAATATGTCACAATATGTAGGCTGTACACTACCACTCCCCCTTCATATTTGATAAATGGACACATGCTGGAAGGAAAGAGAGAAGTTAAAGGTCTGGTTTACTTGAGTAAACTTCAGGAATGTGGCCATTAGTCAGTTTTCCTTTCATTTTTATTCTCTTTGTAATAAACAAAAATTAACTTCAAAAAATGAATAGGAGTTAAGTTTAGTGGGAAAGCAGTTGCGGAATCTCACCTGTGTGTTTTTACTGCTCGACTGAAACCAGCCGATGCACAGGAACCAGATGAAGTTTTATAACCCAGTTGTTCGGACATGCCCAGATTGGCCACCACTAAAGGTATCCTATGAAAAAGTCTGAAGAAATAATTTTTAAAATATATTTTAAATAAAGTGAAAGGCTAGCATCTAGTTATTAGTATAGACTGCCTTTTCCCTACACGATTTAAAAACAAACAAAAACCCCATTTCTTACTACTTACCCAAGAAAAATGTATTGGGGCAAGTAGTTTTTAAAAATTGTGAGATGTGCATAGTGTACAATTATTGTGTGAAAAAATACCTTAATGGCTATTTTAACTGATTACCACACGTGAAAATAAGGTATTACCATTGCAATTCTTCCCATCTTTCGTGAATGATATAATTACTGTTTATTGGTACTCTGAACTTCATTTTCATACTCCATGAAAATGCTGTCTGTATTTCCTGAGGAGAGTCCTATTAACTCATTTTGCTGGATCAACAAAAAACACTGTTTCCTGGCAGAGGCTAAGAGAAAAGCTGCTCAGGTACACAGGCTTCAGTACTACATTACATTCCTTAGCAACCGACACCTAAAGCATGTATATGCTTTCCACCTTATGGCAAGTAACAGCGAATTCTCAGTGTCAGAAACACAAGGCATCATTCCACTGTTGTTTAGTTGCTAAGTCGTGTCCAACTCTTGTGACCCCAGGGACTGTAGCCCACCAGGCTCCTCTGTCCATGGGATTCTCCAGACAAGAATACGGGTGTGGGTTGCCATACTGGACTTCTAATTTCCTTATCTGACCTTCATTTTCCCATCTATAAAGAACCAATGTTAAAACAGATCAAAAAGAATTATTGTGACAATCTAATGCCAATACATAAAAACAGTAAGCCATAAAAAGTACAATGAAAATACTGAGCACATTTTTCTGTTATCTGAAAAGAGCCAGTAACTGGCCAACATTTACCCTTTCTGAGGTTTATATAAGGCGTGCTCCAGCCGATGAGTAGAGCAGCTTTCTGTTATTATACTTGGTGTTAGTAACAGAAAAACAAGTTCCCGGCTTGAAAGATGCTGCTGTAAGTTTTTGTGAAGCAGTCTCTCTCTAAATGTCATGATCTGGTCTGAATGACGTCGGAATTTGTACCAACCAACCACATCCTGAAAGAAAATAATATATCAGGTGTACACCTTCATGGTTACAATTATTATGTCTTACTGTCACAATTAGGTAGTGAAACTGACAATCTTAAAAATGGCTTTCTTAATATTCAGCAAGATTTGGGGCCTAAATAAACAGAACATACACTTAAGAATATGCTTTAACCTTGTATAGAGTGTGCAAACTGACTTGCAGTTAAATTACTTCCCATTCAGTTACAGGGCTACAATTTTATTCAATATGGATTAAAGGAAAAATTCTTAACTTCCTCTAGTTCTCTGATGGCATTTTCTATCTTAAATCTTAATCTTTAGTCAAAATTTAAATGAAGAAAATGTCAATGAAAACTAATTAACTTCTGTCTGGATCCTTGGTTTGCTAAGGAAGTAAACTGAAGCCAATAGCTTTTAATTGAAATTTATACAATAGGCATGTTATCACAGACTTCGTTGCAAGATTAAGACCATATGAAAGGGTTTTGTAAATTATGCTAAACAAATGTGTTGTTAGTATCACTAAACCTTTTTCTTCAAACTGGAAAAAAATCTCATTTACTGGAAACTTAGTACTAAAAGAAAAACTACCACTTTGGAGATCTCTGACAGTTTCAGCAACTAATTTTTTAACATTTGCATGTTTAAATTGAGGAAATAAAAATTACTTTATTTTAAAACAAAAACATTTCTACATTTTAAAAAATTTATTTTTAATTGAAGGATAATTGCTTTATAATATTGTGCTGTTTTCTGCCTCACATCAACATGAATCAGCCATAGGTATACATACACCCCCTCTCTCTTGAACCTCCCTCCCTCCCACCTCCCATCCCATCCCACCCCTCTAGGTTGTTACAGAGCCTGGGTATGAGTTTGCTGAGTCATATAGCAAATTCCCATTGGCTATCTATTTTCAATATGGTAGTGTATGTGTCCATGTTATTGTTTCCATTCATCCTACACTCTCTTTCCTCCCCTCACCTCCGTGTCCATAAGTCTGTTCTCTATGTCTGAGTCTCCACTGCTGCCCTGCAAATAGGTTCATCATACCATCTTTCTAGATTCCATATATATACATTAATATATGATATTTATTTTTCTCTTTATGACTTACTTCATTCTGTATCACAGGCTCTAGGTTCATCCACCTCATTAAAACTGACTCAAATGCATTCCTTTTTATGGCTGAATAATACTGCACTGTATATATGGACCACAGCTGCTTTATCCATTCATGTCGATGGACATCTTGGGTTCCTCCATGTCCGAGCTATTTACAGGTGCATTTTTAAATGCCCAAATGTAATTGGAGGAAAAGCTCAAGCACTTTCAACAAGGGATGCTTTTTGAAAGAAACTTCCTTTACTAAATCTACTTTTATTCTTGACTAAAAGATCAAGAAGTTTTAAGGGGAAATAAGTACCAAGCAAAAAATATTGTCTTTGAACAAAAATGTTTTTTGATCATTCAGCAAGTTTTAACTGAACACCAAGCAGGCTGGGGAGGATCCAGGTGAGGTGCTATATGGGAAACCATCCCTCCAATAGGAGAAACTAACTACAGCCATGGAAAAGGACGGCAGTGGCGTGAGTCCGTAATAAGTGGTGTGGGAAGCGGCATGGTGCGGGTGGAGAAAAGGGAGACACTAGGTAAGCCAGAACAGCCAGGAGAAGGAGAGAACAAGATGAAGATTCTTCGTGACTAGCTTTGCTTTCAGAGAAACCCCTCTGAATTTCTGGAAAGAACAAGCCGTTCCTCACCTGCTTTATAGAAGACACTGTGAAGACAAATGCTGCTTGAAAGTTCTGTCAAAGTATTACACATTTTCAGGAGCTTAAAATAATACATATAATACAAAAAGAGAAAGGGTAAATCAGGGAATACCTTCTTGACATTTGATAATATTTTCTTCAGTGCCTGCTCATTTACTTCACCGGAAGAATTATAAAAGCTGTAAAAGGCAAAATTAAAGGCATTTGAAATAAACTAAAAATAGGCATGATTTTATCAGCACTTTTAATTTTAGTTACTCCTAGCCCAACAACTCAACATTCAGACTTACTTACCTGTGAGATGAAGTTATAAAATAAATAGGAGAGAAAGTTCTCGAATGAACAGACTTAAAAGTGGTAGTAATATGTGGTCCATAAGCAATTAAAAAGGAAAAGGAATAGAGAAACTTCAAGGGATAAGTATGGGCACCACATTTTTTTTAACCTAAAACAAAACAAACTATCCATTAAATACAGGTATTTGTAAGTTCACATAGCTAGTTCACAATTTACATACTAAAACTTTTTTCTACAATAATGACACAAAAGAATGTGTAATGAAGCAAAACAAAAAGAAAACAATTTATTCATTGCTAATTCCAAAAGCTACACTTAAATTAAGAGAAGTGCTTTGGGAGTTGGTTGTCTTCTGGGGGAGTCGGGGAGGGGACAGGTATTAGTTTAGTGATCTCTGTTCTGTAGCTGGAATGTTAAATATAGATAGGAAATGTAGGGAGAACTGAGAAGTATTTCTACAAGATTTAAAGCATTGACTTCCAACTTTCTTGCCCCTCCAGGGCTGGCAAATATCTTCCTCCTTTTTAACTTCCATCAAGATCAACAATGATGAGATATCTGTTATGCCAAATTCCTGACAAATACTATTCACTGTAATAGGCTTTTACTGGTAACTCTAGTCTGTACACTGAAAAAATTTAGCTACATAAAAGTGAAAAAATATATCCTAATAGGCAATATGCTTTTTCAACTTACAAAATAGACAAAATAAAGTGTTCTACCTCTAACGGGGAATAGTTCAACTCATTGAACAGACTCTTCCATCTCACCTATTCATTCCAACATGAAAAATCTAAATACAAGAGTTTATTCCTGTGTTTTCTCTAGGATGATTCACTTCTGAGCTTCTCAAACTGGGGACAAGGCAACATACCAGTGTAAAAGAAAGAGCAGGACAACAGTGTACATCTTCTGTGCAAGCACTAATTTATGTGACGCTTTGGTGAAGGGGGGCATTTTTTTTGTAGAAATACATTGTGCAGTAGAATTCATGTTAAGCTGCTTAATTTTTTTTTAAGTGATTTTCAGTTTCAGGCTTCAATGGGCTGTTTTCCAGATTTCCCCCAGATTTCTGAGTTAAGAGAATCAGTGTATTTCAGTAGCAAGCTTTAAGAAACAATGTATCAGAGCAGTGTTGATAAACTTTCGCTGTAAAAGGGCCAGAAAAGTATCTTAGACTTTGAGGAACAGTCTCTGTTACATATTCATCCGTCATTTTAACTCTTAAAAAATATATCATTTATGGACGGCCATATTATTTATGGGGCCACAGTTTGCCACCCTGTCTAGTAGAACACAAAACTGAGTACGAAGGCTTATCCAGCTCGGGTTCCATGAAGTATGGTACTGAAAGGCTGTTTTTAACATGTGCACCTATGTCATTTAAAACCAGAGAGAAACAGGACAGCATGCTGTGGGATTAGAACTTAAGAAATCCAAATTCCTCTAGTTTTGCCCTACTGCTAACCTGTTAAGTTATTCCATCCCCTGCCCCACAATTCTGTAAACCTAAAAGGCTGAGGCATGGGTTCCTTATCACTGGATCAGACAGCGTCCTCAGCTCTAAGACTATTAAAAGCTGGTCTAATTACGCAAAGTGGTTGCCAGGAGATACTGAATCACTTTTTTCCCCCTATTCTCCCTCCTTAATCCATTCCTGCCCCAGAGTTCTTCAAGAAAGTACTCTTTAGAGTTAGGGTTATTCTCCCCCGCCCCCCGCTCCTGAGGAGGGCTATAGGGCACTTCTCCCATAATTTTTGTAGGTCTTGTGAGATAAACAAGACCAACAAAAAGAAGAAAAAAAAAAAAAAAAGTACTCTTTATGAATCTCCACCAAGAGTCCCTCGTTCCAAAGGTATTTTGTCATACCCATTGTATATTAGGCAACAGAGAGGAGCTGTGCCCTTCCCAGTACAGTTCAAGCCACACTAGGCCTCCAGGGGTGGTTCTCACCTTAACTCTGCTCCACCGCAACCCTCACACAACCTCGGAAACGGTGCATACAGTGTGACTCTAAGACATTACCATTTACATAAACCATAAAGCTATTTCACCAAAACCACACCTTATTGTTTTATGGTTATAGTTGCTTACTTTATGGAAGTTCACTGATTTGTGTACTTTTCTATGCATTATAAACCTCAATGAAAAGTTTTTAACAACATCACAGCTTATCAGGGCTAAGAATACTACTACTATCTGTAGGGTTAAGAGTGTAGGTTTCCACCCTTGAAAAACAACAGGAAGCAGGCTAGATAAAGAACCTAACCAGTTAATAGACAAAAGGTAACATTAAAAAAACAGAAGTGAGGAAACAGATGATAAAATAAACTGGAATAAAAAGGTAGGAAAAAAGGGCTGCTGTTGATGCATGAGAAGTGTCACTGAGTTTACAGTATGTGATGAGGTGATAGGTGGGAGAAGGAAAAGCAATCCTCAAGGTAAACTGGTACCTGGGAGAGGCAGTGAGGACCAGCTGAAGGAAGCAGGTAAACACAGAGAAAGAACTATTAGACAGGGCTGAAATGAAGAGGTGCATTTTCAGGTATTTAAAAAGTCTTTATTTTAATCTGTACCACCATGTATAACTTGTAACTAAGATACTTTGTTAGTTTTGAAGATTCACTTAAGGATAATAATTCTCACAATGGATTTCTCACTTGCCCTTACTACTCACCTAAAAAGCTGATAGCATGAAATGTATTTCTGAATGTCTGGGGAAAAAAAAAAGAATGTTTAGTTATGATTACATTAATGATCACTTGAATAACATATATCAAGCATTTCATGCCAGGATTTATATTACTGTTATCTCATTTAATCCTGACAACAAACCCACGTGATAGATGTTATCATTCCTTCCATTTTAAAGACGAAGCAACAGGCAGAGAGATTTCAACCCAGAGGCTCACTCCTGACTAGAATGCTATATTCTTTCTAACTAGGTTTAACAATGGCTACACAAAAGACAAGGTCACAGTTGCTATTTTCACTGAGTTCTGAAACAGTTATGCTCCAATTTTACCCAACTGATAAAAGTAGCTGTTCAAGGAATTATCTGTTATTCCAACTGGTTGTTTCATAAAGGATTTGTCAGTGTTAATTGTAGACTAGAGAAAAAATGTTCAACATCTCTAAAGAGGTGAGTTTTATTCTCCTGTCTATAGAAATACTACATCTAAATACATATAAATTCTGGTAGTTGCAGCTGCTGTGCAAACATTAGATTCTATCATATGAGACATCATTACAGATCTCATATGAAGCAATTCATAAAGAGATATGAAGATGAACATGGTGTTTCCTCTATCATTCCAAACCTTCAGGTCCCTTAAGATTCAGGAGGGAACAGTGAAAAAAGCAAAAGACTCACATACAATCACACAGAAAGTCATCAAGACAATACAAGCTCTTCCAGGCACCCCATCTTTCTGTGTTTGTCAGAGAGCATTATTAACAGGATCACTGTAACAGTCATCACCGACCTCACACAGTTCCTATGACATTTCTTCTCCTCAGGGAGATACTAGCCAGACTACCTGAAATTTCCTTAGTCACTTAAATCAAAGACATCAGTCTGATTATGGAGAATTTGTGAGTCTTCATCTGTATGAGAAAACCCAACACCAAACTGCTGTAGAAGAATTTTTCAAGTAAACATCTGTAGGTTGTACTTTTTTCACTTATCAAACTGGGCTTCCCTGATGGCTCAGAGGTTAAAGCATCTGCCTGCAGTGCAGGAGACCCAGTTCGATCCCTGGGTCAGGAAGATCCCCTGGAGAAGGAAATGGCAACCACTCCAGTATTCCTGCCTGGAGAATCCCATGGACGGAGGAGCCTGGTGGGCTACATTAGTCCATGGGGTCACAAAGAGTCGGATGTGACTTCACTTTATTTTCTTTTCACGGTGATAAGGCCTGACCTCTGAGCTTCCCTGGCGGTTCAGACGGTACAGAATTTGCCTGCAGTGCAGGAGACCTCGGTTCAATCGCCGGGTCAGGAAGATCCCCTGGAGAAGGGAATGGCAACCCACTCCAGTATTCTTGCCTGGGAAACCCCATGGACAGAGGAGCCTGGAGGTCGCAAAGAGTCGGACAGGGCTGAGTGACTAACACTCCAGTTATTTAACCAATAAGTTTTTTTAGTTCTTATCTTCCAAATTTTCTGCAGTTTACGTTTTACTCCAACCTGTTTTACCTTTTGTCTCTTGGTCTTGCTTATTCGTTCCTTCTTTTGCTGGACCATCTTCCTGCCACTTACGTGTATGCAGGAACTATGTTTCATCCTTGTCTCCTGACAAGGAGAATCTTGTCATCTTAATCTACTTCCTATGTCTCACACTGTTTCTTCCTTTAGGGTATAGCCATAACTTTAAGAAATGAGTGCAATATATTGTTCTAAAATTTGCCTTTAAAAATTCTTATCTATTCCTTAACAACTTAAAAGTAACTTATGCTGATCCCTTTCAGCATAAACTATCAAAATAGGAGACACAGAAATAAGTGACTCACCAATTGTATAAATAACTTCAACATCATCCATCTGGGAATCAGTTATGCTGTTCTTGGCTTCACCTTTCACTTCCCCAAGGAGAAAACCTTCCTAGGATAAGAATAAGCAGTATATGGAATACACCAATAGGATTACCATTCAGTCACTTAATTAACCGTTATTTCCCGAGACTTTTACAACATGTGCAAGTGTGTGCTACCAACTGGGGTATACTCAAAAGACCAGGTGCACTCCAGTTTACATGGGACACATGACCAGTTTTAAAAACATGGGTGAAAGTAAAGTGGAGTTGCTCAGTCATGTCTGACTCTTTGCGACCCCATGGACTGTAGCCCACCAGGCTCCTCAGTCCATGGAATTTTCCAGGCAAGAGTACTGGAGTGGGTTACCATTCCCTTCTCCAGGGGATTTTCCCAACCCAGGGATGGAACCCAGGTCTCCTGCACTGCAGGCAGACAGACGCTGTGCCGTCTGAGCCGCCAGGGAAGCCCAAAACATGGTTAGAAGAGACTAAATACCACTGTGACTTTAGCACTCTAGGAAGCACAAAAGGCTTAAAGCCAGAAATGAAAGCACAATGTTTGAGGAAGGAAGAGCAGCACAGTTAGCCTTAGAAAAGAAGACTCCCATTTGTAAGTGAAAGTCGCTCAGTTGTGTCCTGACCAGTTGCATCTGACACTTTGCGATCCCATGGACTGTAGCCCACCAGGCTCCTCTGTCTGAATTCGTCCGTCCAGGATACTGAAGTGGGTAGCTGTTCCCTTCTCCAGGAGATCTTCCCAACCTAAGGATCAAACCTAGATCTCCCACATTGCAGGTGGATTCTTTACCAGCTGAGCCACCAGGGAAGCTACATTTGTAAGGAAAGTTTACAGAGTCTGTCTGCCAATGTCAGAGACACGGGTTTGATCCCTGGGTTGGGAAGATTCCCTGGAGAAGGAAAATGGCACCTGGCTCCAGTATTCTTGCCTGGGAAATCCCATGGACAGAGGAGCCTGGCGGGGTACAGTCCATGGGGTCACAAGAGTTGGACACAACTTATCGACTACCCACCACCCATCTGTAAGAAAATCATAGGTAGAAAGAACAGTGCCAGTAATTGACCATCCCAAATGACTAGCCCGACCATCAATGGCACGGGCTTCTGAGAGTCAGTGATGGCTTCTGTGCTATCAAATGACACAAGATGGGCTTTTTAGATTAAGAACTGTGCTCATTATTAATAATCTGGAAATCAATATCAGAGTCTGCTTTATAAAAGAGGAGCTTGGTTCTTTTTAAGGCATCTTGCCACAACAGCAGTGACTTCTGTGAATTTCAAAGAATTCAATTATTTCTCTTGGTACACTTAGAGACCCAATGTGCTTGACAATGAATTTTTAATCTTTATAATTAGTTAAGACTACTTTTAAAAATTCATTAAAAGAAGAACACAAAGCAATGTTTCCACAATGTGAGTCTTCATTAGAATCAAAGGGGAACAGTCCAGAACTCTATAGTGTTCTAGACAAACCCCTGGAAAAGAGACAACAGAAGACAGTACAACTACCCGGAAAACCACCTTTTAAAGGCTTTAGGAGAAAGATCTGAGACGCAAAGGCCTAACAGTATGGTACTTTGCAAGTGCTAATCCTTTAAGCTACATAGGATTAAACCCATTCTGTTTATATTTACACTAAGATATTCGAAGATAATTTCCACAACCACAGGCATTTTAAATCATCATATATTTGCTCTATGCTAGGTGTTAAGCTACAATGTAATTTACATTTGCATACACAAAAGCTATCAATTCCAACCTTATTAGGACTGCGCCAAAATACTATTTTGGAAAAGACAAGCCTTTATTACAAAATGAAAGGCACAACATTTAGCAGAAATCATGAGGTTTGGTACAGATATTCCCTAAACCCTCTTAGCAAGTTACTGGGTTTGGTACAGATATTCCCTACACCCTCTTAGCAAGTTACTAAGCACTTCCTTTCTTTGGCTCAGACGGCCAAGAACCTGCCTACAATGCAGGAGGCCTAGGTTTGATTCCTGGGTTTAGGAAGATCCCCTGGAGAAGGCAATGGCAATCCAATATTCTTGCCTGGAGAATACCAAGGACAGAGGAGCCTGGCAAGCTATACAGCCCATAGGGTCGCAAAAAGTCGGACACGACTGAACGACTAACACAAAGCACTTACTCTCTCTGACACTACTTCTCGGGCTCAAAGTTTTACAGTGGTTTTGTTTCATAAATATAAAAGTTTTTAAAATAGGCTCTTTAAAAAAAAACAAAAACTACTTCATTACTTAACTTTATCTAGAGGTTCTGAACCTAGGCAAAAGTGTGAAATCAGCATTTAAATATTTCATATTGGAGGCTATACTTAAATGTTTATAAGCGAAAGCTGAGGCCATAGCTTAATAAATTTGACAACAATGCAAACAAAAGTCAGATACCCGATATACATCTTTTCCGCGTACTAAGACTGACGCCAAAATAGCCACCGGTGGCATCATCCATCTTTCCTTTACGAGCCATCCATTTCAGCAAACGTGCCCAACTGCGGCTCCGCAAGGGAAAACACCGAGTTGTTTGCGAAAACCACGGTCGGGAGCGAGGAGCAAGTTAACCCGCAACGTTCCCAGCCGCGGCGGGAACGCTGTGTGAACTTTCTATTCCTTCACGACCGAGTTCGACCAGAAAAGGGGGGCCCCCGAGAGACACGGCGGCGTGCGAGGCACGGGAACGCAAACACTGGTTCCGAGGGGGGAGCTGAACCTGGAGAAAGCACCTCTAGGACCGCCCGGGAGCGAGAGAAGGCAGCGCCGACGGCAGAGAGCCTAGGCGGCGGCGGCGGGAAAGCCCACGGGCCGCCCCAGGCAGCGGCGGCCCGGAGGTCGCCCAAGCGCGGGGGCTGGCGGGGGGGAGGCGGGGGCTTCCGAGGCGACGCCGCATCCCGCCCCCGCCCTCGGCTCACCGTGTCTGAGTCGGTGTTGAGGTGCTGGAAGGCGAGCGCGCCGAGCACAAATCCAGAGAGCACCGCCGACGTGCTCTCGCCCTCCATGCTTCCGTCGCCGCCGCGCGACTCCAGGGGGCGTGGTGTGGGCGGGGCCAAGTGAGGAGGTGGAGTCGCCCGACGAGGCGGGCTTGCGCCTGCGCAGTGGCTACGGCGCGCTGCGCGGGCCGGCGGACAAGGTTTGGGCGCCCTCTGGTGGGGATGCCGCGGCGAAGAGGTTGTAACTAGTGCTCAGGTCCGTCTTTCTGGGTGTTGGGCAACTGCTCTGCCCAGGGCCAGGAATAGCGAGCGCCTTAGCAGCTAACTGCTTCTGAGGGGACCTGGCATAGATGCGAAAGTATGGAAAATGAAAACAGCTGACAGAATAGAAGCTTGCCTAGTGGCATAATATCACAATGGAAATGCCACGTTTGGAGTTTTCACACTGTCAGATGCTGCGCTTTACCATTTGAAACTTCTAGAATACTAATGACAATGTCAGAGAATGTCTCTTCTAGAACTCTCTAGTGATGTTTCATCTCGTCGAATGAGGGAGGGGGATGGATTTCTTTAAGTGTTTGCTTTTAGAAAATTGAGAACTCAATTCAAAGAATATACAGACTGTTTAACCTTGTTCTGACAAGTTAATGATAGTTATAGACATGCTGATGATCATTTGATAAGGGTGCTGCAGAAACCAGTAATCGAGAAACCAAGCCCCAGAGTCAAGAGAGTTGGAGAAAGGTTTATTACGCCAGCGGGCCCGGAGGAGTTAACACTCCAAGCTCTGAGCCCGAAACAAAGGGGTTACAGAGTTTTTATGCACAAACTATAGTGGGCAACACTAGCTGCTAATAGGCTGGTTTAAACTAAGGGGTTTTGCACACACGGGAACAGTGGTCAGGATGGGGAGGGGGATGCCTGACCTTTTACATGGACAGGCATGATTAAGCAGGTTTGCAGGGGCTGGACAATTGCAAAGAGCAGGACAAGGATGACCGAGATAAGCTCCAGTTCCTAATATTTTAAGTCCCCACTTTCTGAGACTATGTGACCTATGTGATCCAGACTTTGCAAGGAGCAAGCTGAGTTACAGAGGAAGATTGAGCAGGAGATTATGTAAAATTTTAACTTGTCATCTTCAAGGGGAATAGGAAGGTTATGAATTAACAATTTTCCACATATGATATATAAAGCTATGGTTTTTAAATGAAAGCTAGCTATATATCAGACTACTGAATTAAATTAATATTGCTTGTTTCTGGGTTTTGTTGTGTAGCAGCCATATTTGACTAATATACTGAAGACATGTATAGCATTAAAAGTTATGTTTTTTGTCTAAAATTAAGTTTCTTGCTGTCATTTCAGCAAAGTCACTGTTAATACAAAAAGATTTTCACTTAAGTTGTGTTTTATAGGTAGTAATGATCTAAAGGATTAAAAACTTTTTTTTAAAGTTTGTCCAAGACAATAAAAGTAAACCCTCACATATAAGAGCGAATGATTTTTGACATGGTTGCCAAGACAATTCATTGGGGAAGGACAGGTTTTTCAATAAATGCAAAAGAATGTAATTAAACCCTTACTTTATGCCATATACAATAATTAGCTCAAAGGGAATGAAATACCTAAATGAAAGACCTAAAACTAGCATTCTTAGAAGAAAACATGGGGGGAATCTTCATGACAGTGGATTTGGCGATGATTTTTTTGTGTGTAACACCAAAGGGAAAAAAAAGATGAATTTTATTTACTTCATCAAATTAAACACTTCTGTCCATCAAACGACACTATCAGGAGAGTGAAAAGGCAACCTACAGAATAGGAGACGTATTTGTGAATCATGTATCTGACAAGGGATTAATATCCAGAATATATATAAAGAATATATGCAATATATATTGAATATATATTCAATGACAGCAGAAAAAAAATTAGCCAAGGACTTGAGTAGACTTTTCTGTAAAGAAGATGCACAGGTTTCTCAGGTGGCGCTAGTGGTAAAGAATCCACCTGCCAATGCAGGAGACGCAAGAGACCTGGTTTGATCCCTGGGTCAGGAATCCTTGGAGTAGGTAAAGGCAACCCACTCCAGTATTCTTGCCTGGAAAAATTCCATGGACAGAGGAGCCTGGTGGGCTACAGTCCATGGGGTTGCAAAGAGTTGGACACGACTGAGTGACTGAGCATGCACTCAACAAGTACATGAAAAAATACTTAACATCACTAGTCATTCAGTTCAGTTCAGTCGCTCAGTCGTGTCCGACTCTTTGCGACCCCATGAGTTGCAGCACGCCAGGCTTCCCTGTCCCTCGCCAACTCCCGGAGTTAGTCATTAGGGTAATGCAAATCAAAACCATAATGGCCCACTGTATAGCATTCTGTACTAACTTAAAAGGGAAATGAAGCTGAAAAAGAATTGATACTTGTATATGTATAACTGATTCACTTTGCTGTATACTTAAAACTAACACAACATTGTTAATCAACTATACTCCAATATAAAATAAAAATTAAAAAACAAAAATGGTGGCACAATGGCTATGAATCCGCTTGCCAGTGCAGGGAACACAGCTTCGATCCCTGGTTCAGGAAGATTCACATGCAAGGAGCACCTAAGCCCATGTGCCTTAACTACTGACCTGAGCGCTGCAACTACTGAAGCCCGTGAGACAAAGCAGCGCGATAAGCCCAAGCACCACAATAAAGAGTAGCCTTCGCTCATCACAACTAGAGAAAGCCAGAGCGAAAAGCAGCGAAGACCCAGCACAGCCAAAAATAAATAAATAAAATCAGATCTTTAAAAAAATGCCAAAAACTTTAATGACAGACCACATCATACTCATTAGGATAGCAATGGTATAGTAAAAAAATACATTTGATCTTTGTTCCTGCATCCAAGAACAGAGTTCCTAAAATCCTTGTCGTCTCTAGCATGATAGTAGTGTCTTCTGTATGCTAACGTGATTGTTGGGGAATGAGAGTGGTGGGCTAGATAGCTTTAAGGATGGGAGCTAGTTTCCAGAAAGAGGAAGCCTTGATTAGAGGATTGGAACTTTTAGCCGCACTCCTGACTTGTTCTCTGGAGAAGGGAATGGCAACCCACTCCAGTAGTCTTGCCTGGAGAATTCCAAAAGCAGAGGAGCCTGGTGGGCTACAGTCCATGGGGTCAAAGAGAGCTGGACATGACTGAGTGACTAACACTGACATCTTAAGTGAGAGGGGCTGGAGATTGAGTTTACATAACTAATAGGGGATGATTTAATCAACTGTGCCTAAGTAAAGAAACTACCGTTAAAACTAAGGAATGGGGCTCCATGTTAAAGACTTGAATGTCAGGCCTAAAACAATTAAACTCATAGGAGAAAACATAAGCGGTGCATTCTTTGACATCCGTCTCAGCAATACCTTTCTAGATACTCTTCCTCAGCAAGAGAAACAAAAGCCAAATTAAACAAATGGGCTCCCTCATCCCCAAACTGTTTTACCCACTCCTGTGCATTAGATTTTGGAGTTTGAGCCTAAGGAAGGATCCTGTTTTGTCAAATTTTCATGTCGGTTTGTCTGCCTGACTATTGATTGCCCCAGGCCATGCTAGGTCAGGGTTCTCATTTCAGTTCTTTGCTTTCCAGCTTTTAAAAAGTTCTTCCAAACTGGGCTAAATAGAGCAGACTTGTTGGGGGCATTTTAATGTTTCGGGACCATCGGGGTCCACGTGGTCCACCCAAGCTCTGATAGTGTTCCTTTTCTCAGCTCTAAATAAAATTTACATTTTATTCATCCCATTTCTTAACAAGCACCTGAAGATCTCCACCTTATGGAGTCCCTTGGCTCTTCCGGCTGCCTCCCCCCACTTTCCTCTTCACTGATTAAGAAGTCTCGGAGATGTCTTGACATAGGAGCCTCGTGCACTGCATCACCAGCATCTTAGTGAAGCCCTAACATGGGCTGCAATTAGATTGAGAAGATACTGTAGAGAAGTGGAAGAGTTGATGTCTTCTCATTTATATCTTATGGCTTTAAAAATGCTTATATATTAAAGGTATCGACATTGTCTGTCAATTATTGAAAGTATTTTTTTCCCAGATTGCTTTTAACTTTTACTTGCATTTAAGGTAAACTGTTTTTAATATGGAAGCTTTAACACTTCTTATTTAAAACTTTTACTCATATCCTAATCTTTATGTCTAAGGTATCATGTTTAGGAAGACCTCCCTGTGTCATGATTAATAACCATTACTCTTGAATAAGAGGCAATTACTAATTAACATTCAGAAAACTAAGATCATGGCATCTGGTCCCATCACTTCATGGGAAATAGATGGGAAGACAGTGGAAACAGCATCAGACTTTATTTTTTTGGGCTCCAAAATCACTGCAGATGGTGATTGCAGCCATGAAATTAAAAGATGCTTACTTCTTGGAAGGAAAGTTATGACCAACCTGGATAGCATATTAAAAAGCAGAGACATTACTTTGCCAACAAAGGTCTATCTAGTCAAGGCTATGGTTTTTCTAGTGGTCATGTATGGATGTGAGATTTGGACTGTGAAGAAAGCTGAGTGCCGAAAAATTGATGCTGTTGAACTATGGTGTTGGAGAAGACTCTTGAGAGTCCCTTGGACTGCAAGGAGATCCAACCAGTCCATCCTAAAGGCGATCAGTCCTGGGTGTTCATTGGAAGGACTGATGCTGAAGCTGAAACTCCAGTACTTTGGCCACCTCATGCGAAGAGTTGACTCATTGGAAAAGACCCTGATGCTGGGAGGGATTGGGGGCAGGAGGAGAAGGGGACGACAGAGGATGAGATGGCTGGATGGCATCACCGACTCGATGAACATGAGTTTGAGTAAACTTCGGGAGTTGGTGATGGACAGGGAGGCCTGGCGTGCTGCGGTTTGAGGGGTCGCAAAGAGTCGGACATGACTGGGCAACTGAACTGAACTGAACTGAACTGAACTAATTAAGACTAATGCCATGTGCTGAATGGAGCCCTAGCAGAGATCATTTACCAAAAGTCTAAGCACAGAATCCATACAAACAGTAGAACTGCTTTAAAAAGATTTTTA